ACATTAAAACATGCACACAACCACCTTGGGGAACAAAAGGTAAATTTCACAAGCATTCCCTTTTTAAACAAAAGCCACTTTATTCTGTTAATTTAAGAAGTATGTATTGTCCCCTGACGAATACGCTTTAATTGTACAGTCACACTGGGCCATGTGGATGTGTGCTTGTAGTTGTTTTTTCGTTGTTTAATTATATTGTGCATTTTGTTCTGCATGACATTCTGTACATTTCTCTATGCCCTGAAACGTAACAATAGATACATGTTCTTGAAATCCTCTTTAAATTCATTTAGCAGAAACACTTCATACCCAGTCGAAGGCAGATGGGTCAATCAAAGTAATAGTTTCCCACTTTTCCTCAAGCCACATGTAGCTGAAGGACAGTTCTGAAATGAGTGCGAAATTTGGAAGCTATTTGCCACTGACCAGATGTCAAATGGTGAGTATGGGTTTTGGTAAATGAGCACACCAATTTGAATTCGGCCTTCGGAATCCTTGCAACACTGCCATTAAGCTGAACTATTAGCTGCAATGCCAGTTAGAGCAGGCCCTGCTTATCCCACACTGTTAAGTTTCTGCCAGGCTGAGCCAACCAGTGCCCATCTGCTCCACTGGTGAGAATTCTCACTCCATTATTTGACTTGTTTTGAGCTTGGCTGTGGAAAACTCATTGACTTTCAAAATAAGATGTTAAGATATTTTTTAAAAGGATAAAGGGTTATTTTAAAGAAAGAGAACACAGAGCATACCTTGCCTAAGGCTAAATACTGGAAATCTATGAATCTGGATGAACACCAAAATTTGAAAACTAGAGAGAGCCATGCTCCCATACCTTTGGTAACAATGGAAATCTTTCTTTGACATTTGAAATAATCCTGCTCACAAATATGCGGAACAAAAACATTCCGAACAGGAAAATCTTTTGTTGTTTGGCGCTTGGGCTTCAGGAACATGAATAAATAAAAAGCAATCAACTTCCCACCTCTCTTTTATTGCACAAAATTTCCTCCAATTACCCGCAGAGATTGATGTGAGGGTGACACTCCCACAACCAACACATGACCCTTAAAATCTAAACACACCCATTTCCTGTGGCTTCTGTGTATCAGACTGGGTTTGAGTGTGGGCCTTCTGCGGAGTGCATTTGCGTGCGCATGCATGTGTGTGGGTTCATATTTATGAAACAAGCTTTGCCCAGTCATACCGTGGGAGTTAGCAGGTCATCCTCCTTTGCCATTAATCACTGTTGACAGCTCATAAGTGCCCAATCTGCATGTGAAAGATCTGCATGTGTTTGCATGTGTGAGCGTGCATGTATTTGCATGTGTGTATTTGACCATCGCTAGATTCCCTGCGGCTGCTTATTGAATTAGAAGTGGCCTCAGCCGATGATTACCTAAAATGCAGCATGAATGCATCATTGGTGGCATTTGTACTACAGCTACGACGTCTGTTATTGACAACTCATTATGTTGGTTTTGCGTATAATTCATTGTGTTACGACAAGCCAAAACATGGGTAGAAAAACTGTTCCGTGAATCATAAAACATTTACACTAAATAGTGAGCATTATTTATGAAATTTCAAAAGACATACATTTTTACAATTGAAGGATGATAATATTTTGATTATTAGACTAGCACTTTTATTTTGTATGTACAGATAAAACACAGGGATAGGGATGTGGCAGGGGAACGACATCCTTGTACTTGTGTGTGTGCTGAAATTTTTACTTTTGAAGGGCTTCAAGTGGTTAAGCATTGGCTATTGATCCTCGATGTAGCAGACTCAAGTTCATGTCTTATTCTGGGGCTCTTTGTTGCATGTTGTCCTCACTCTCCTCGTCTGTTTGCCCGGAGTTAATCATAGGCTACTTGTGCTCATAGCACTGGAAATATATTGCAAGCTCTCCTTTTCTTTATCACATTATAGCTGTTTCAAGCACAAATCTGCGAGAAACTCAAAAAATGTCGACCAAAATATAGAATAGCATACATGCTTATGTTTTTATGGCACACTTAAAAGAATTAAACCAAAAAGAAACAAAATTGGATTTAAAATGAGCAAAAAGTTTTGCAGCTGGTGTGCCGAAGGTTTTGATGGACATACGAAGGGCTTTGGTCCTAATTTTTTGTTCCACGGTGATGAAATAGCCCTTCTTTCTATTTCTTGGCCCATTTACTTGACAGAACCAGGAATATTTGAGCATTTCTTTCAGTCCAGGTTATAAAGCCTGTTGCTTTACTTGAGCATATGGGATTTGAATCACATTGAATAATACTGTTTTTTCCCTCTGTATTTCCACACCCAGACATGAAAGGAATAAGGGATCTTTATTTGCATTTTTATGCCTGAGTGTATTTTTCAAGTGGGAATAGAAATTCTATGAGCAATGTCAAGTCCCAGTGCTTCTGTGTCCTGGAGTGCATCAGACTACTTTTTCATCTTTACCCTAACATAACCAGTCTCTGCCTCCCTTTAACCATACTTTTGGCTTGTTTCTCTCCAAGTTTTCTCTCCTGCGTTCTGCTTTCTCTCGAGCTATTTGATGTTTTCTTTCTAGTTTTATAATTTTATCAGTATAAGGTGTCCACTTCTTTGAAAATAAGTCGAGATACAATACTTTTAATATCAGTGTTTTTTAAGAACAATTGAGCCTCTAACACTCTTTACTTTTACATCTAATAGTTTAATTGTTATTGGGCCCCCATGTTCCAATATCATATATGTATATACATATACATATATTGTGTCTGCTTAAAAACGGCTGGCTGCATGACATCATTAAGGGATGGCATTAAAATGTCCGTTGAAAGGTTTATTGAGTGAGATAATGAGGCTGGTTTACTACAGTTTAGTGAGCTGTCAGGACTGCGAAGGACAGAGAATGAAAGATTAAATGAATTGATTAGTTGCTGTAACTTTAATAGCCTCCGTGTGACGGTCTGTTGACAGTTGGTTGCCTATAAGTGCCAATTAAACTCATACTGACCTCGAGAAGAAGATGTTACCTGCTGTTGTGTTTTTTTTAGCAGTGTAAAAATGGCTAAAGTAAAGAATGTGCAAAATGTTTTAGTTTTGAGGAAAAGCAGCACAAATCTAAATTTGGTGATAGATCAGATAGACAGGGGGGGAAAAAGCTAATAGTGCGGTTTCAGCAGTTTCTTTTTCAAAAGCTATCGTGGAATTATTCTGAGAAATTTTCCAGTATACACTAATTTCAGTTTATACGTACAACAGAAACCTGTTTCTGACTGCAATTAATTTTTTTTTGCAACGAAATGAATAAATTACACTTCTTTTAAAAAAGAAAAAAGGGAGACATTAAATAAAGACCATTAATTAACCACTTAAACATCTGTGTGCCGTTTGTGCAAAATGCAGCTCTTTCAGTGCTTTTTTTTTTTTTACACCCCACAATTATCAAGTTAATTCTTGGTGGAATGTTCATTTGTAGGGTTGTGTTAAGAATGAATTGTATCCATTAAGCGGGATTGTAGGCAAGATGATTGGAGAACAGGAGCAATATTAGTGGGTGATTACATCTCATTCTGGTATTACAAACCACAACCTCATTAGCATGGATAAAGGCTGCTTTCCACAACACCTCATAAATCTGGCAGATTTGTGCACACAGCATGTGCACATGCCATGTAAAAATGCTTTTATTGATGTCGCTTTAGTGAATTCAAGACAAAGAATTTGATGTTTCTGTATGTGATGAAAAATGTGCAGAAGTGGTGACTTAAGGAAAGATTTTGCCATGCAATTCTTAGATTTTTAAAAATGACAGCAGTGTTAAGTACACTTGTTTATATCTTGGTACCAGCATGAAAGATTTAAAGCAACAGTAAGAAAGAAAATTAACAAATGTACAGCTACACACAGACATAGCTGGATTTGTCGAACAGAAAGCCACTACAAAACATTATGCATGTTTGTAGATGCTGATTTATCTCTGTGGAAATTGGGAAGATAGTTACGCTTTAGACTTACATGTTGGCACAAATCCTGCATAGTGATTTATATTGTGATTTGGTGGATAGTAATGCCTCAGTATCATTAATTATTGCCAATAATTTTTTCACTGGAATCATTTATTAGAAAAAGAGAGGAGATTATGGTGCAGGTTTGTGCTTGTGATAGTCACAGCACAGTTTGGATGCCTCTTTGCTGATTCAACAAAGTAATTTAGTTACAGTAAATGATTAAACTTCTCTGGATGTCCGCAGAATAATTGATGATTCTGACATTCTGCCCTTGCCCTCTGCGATATAAAGGAAAGATTGTGTGACGTGATGTCCTTCCAAAGATGCAATCGTTAGAAAGTTCCATTTTAAAGCGAGAGACTAAATAGGGAGGGAACTGAGTGGAGGAGAAAATTTAGAATCAGAGAAGGAAAGAAAAGGAGCACTGAACATGGGATGGCTGCAAAAACTGAAAGATGACAAAATAAACAGAACGCTTGTGGATTAAATAAATAGGAGAATATAATATTCTAATAAAAGAGAGAAATTAAATGAATCTCTAAATTTGTGTAACCCACAAACATTACAAATTTTGATTGTGAGACAGCAGAGACTAATGTATCTCAGCTTTTAGGATGAAAATATACCTGAATAAACGTTTGAAATTTTGACCTGAACACAGAATCTAGTTGCTACAGTTACTCTTGGGACAGGACTTTATGGCATAAAAACATAACATGCATATATTAGTCTTCATTGCATGTGTTTTGGGCTTTTAGTTAAGTGTCTTTTGGGAGGTCCTTTGTAGTATCCCGCTGACACTGTTTCAAAAATCCTATAGAAGACTTACTACGCAATGTAATGGGATAACTGCAGGCATGCCCTAATATACGGGAGCGGATGAATTAAACCTTTGTTATTTGGAGAAATGTATGTTTTCGCCTAATACGCAAAAACAAATTGAGAACCGGCAGCTGTAAAAAGCTTGTTTGGTGAGCGTTGTTTTTCTGAATGTTTTTTAAGGTTTCCTTGTTGGTGTGTTGCTTATTCTTTCCCCCTTTCTGCTTAACTGCTTTTCTAGGTGTGATGCCTGATCGTCAGTTTGGTGGAACCCAGTTTGTGTGCAGTGTGGTGGCTTCTCATGTCAGCCACCAGCCCTCCACCAGCTTCAGTTTTGTCTGGATTGCACCACCTCCTGGCACTGGCTGTGTCAATTTTCTGTAAGTCATGTGTGTCTGCATGTAGGACCTGTGAAGAACAGTGCATAGCAAACACAAGAACGCTATAAGAACGCTATAAAAGTGCAGCTGGGCGGCCTTATTCTCCATCCTGTCTACGACCTTAACAGCTGCCACGTGTCTACCACAGACATGGAAGTCATAAACCTATCTGCTAATGTTATGTGGCTGCACGCTGATCCAAAAAGCTTAAGAGATGCTTATCAGATGACACGGCTGGTGTTTTGTTTTTCTGAGGCCCAGAAAAGATGTTAAGAGGCCATCCTATCATCCTGAGGTTAAACTGGGGACAGAGTTGATATTTAGTTGTAACTCCTTTGCTCAACATGGCTTACATGACAGGTTTGTATGTGTCTGTGTTTATCCTGCAGAGAATTAATGAAAATATCTCCGTTAATCCAGAGCACCACCCCTCTCACTGCAAAATGTGCGAGTGGCTGGTCAGATCCGCCCATCCCCTGTGGATGAGTGTGATATGAGAGGTAGTGTAGGGAAAATGGTTGATCTCAGTGGCTGTGCTGCATGCAGAGTTACAGCAGCACCACATTACCTTTTCAGAAAGCCCTCGTTCGTAAATGTGGCAAATCAAGTCTGTCAGATGGGCATAAGTTCAATGCTTTCAACAGAAATTCCAACATGCAAACATCGGTATCATGTGATTGATATTTATAAGTTGTGGATTTAAACAGGTTTTGTCAGTTTTTGACGTTTTAAAGATGCTGCAAAATTCTTGTCATTGTATTATCAGAGCAAAACTAAGTCAAATATTTTTGGCTGTACTTGTGAAGATCCCATAATAAATTCCTGGAAAAATATAATCTATCAGGCAGATTTCAATGGACAGACACAAAGAAAAGAAAAATCAGCAGGGGAATTTACTGTGATGGAGCCACCGGAGAGACAAAATCCACTGAGTCAAACAGATTTACAGGCTTTTTTTTTGCATGCCAGCAAGCACATTTACTGTGTGTCAGCTTACTGTGTGTGTCTGTGCATGTGTGTGCAATGTGTATTTGATGTAATGGTTTATTCTCACACATAGTTTGCCAATTCTGATGAAAGTGGGGGAAGCAGAGGGCCACGACTGTATGACAATAAGGGGCCCAGCGGCTAACCGTATCAAAGTCAGTCAGTCACACTTCAGTTGGCTTTGGACTGCTTTTCAGTCTGAAACATAAAGGCACACATTTAAACAAACTCACAGCACCCTGTTACAGTTCACAGCTCCCATCTACATCATCTTCAGAGATTCTCTCTCTCTTTTCGGAGGAAGGATTCAACAGGCACGGGCTGCCTGACCCAAGCCAAGGTGCCCTTTGGGGTCGAGACTGAGAAATGTGGCTGTCACTTTCAAATTTATGTTTCAACATCTTAGTCTATATGAATGGAAGTTTTCAAAGAATTGCAACCCAAAAAATGCTTAAGCTTAGAAAAATGGTTTAACCTGTCTTGACTGTAAAAAAAAATGTAAATGATAAAACTTGCCTCCTCTTGCCAGTAGTGCTCCTGCTCTGATTGATACAAGGACTCTTTTTCCACAAGCGTCACCATGAGTGCTTAAATTAAAGCCACAGACACCCTCTGTCCTTCAGAGGACTGGAACCGGTCCACCGGTGCATTAATATCGCCCCTCCGAGCAGTTTTATAGCCGATATTGTAGGAGTGTCCCTGGTAACACATCACTAGCAGCCCTGTGATGGAGTGCCATGACGTGGGCATCCAGAAGAACTCATTTTCTGGATGGCTGTAAATTGCCACCTAAAGAGAAGGAGAGGCCTTGAGGAAGAGAGGTGCAGGACTGGAGGGAACACACACATATACATACAAAAAATGATGCCGCTCTAACACCTGAATGTTCTTTCCTGAAAAATGTTTTTGTTTTCTTTTGCCACCATCAGTGTTTAGTTTTATGTTCTATTTGCAATGATACATTAATACTAGTCATTAATATTAGTTTAAGTATTACTGGGCAGAATGGCAGTGCACACTGTATACTTATGAGTTCAGCTAAATATCACATGTTTACCTTAATAACACAAATATAGTATCATTAGTACATAAGATATTGACTTGAACGATCTAAGATGTCTGTCATAAAATTAAATCCTAAAAAGAACAGCTCTTTAGCAGTTTGAAATATTTACAAAGTGAGTTTATTGGGTTTTTCATAAACTAAGCTAATCTCAGTATCCAGAAGCTTTCTAGAAACATGTTCTACATCAGCTTTTTGTTTTGTTATTCCTTGTCCATAGGTGTGTGTATGCATGTCCATATCCCACTCTGCCCAAGCATATCTTTATGTGTATATATATGTATGTGGAAAGCTTTTTGCACCATCTTCCTTAGGGATTCCCGCAGATGTTAGGTTAGATATGGCTTTAATTATTGCATCAAAGCCCTCTTTTCTAAGTGTGTCCCAGAAGAGAAAGGGTGTTTGCAGATCTAATGGCACACTTTGCTCGCTGATAAAATTTTAGAAAAAAAATCATTGTGTAAGCCTTACTAAAACTGGACTTGTCCAATGCTCAACGCCATGATTCACTGCACAGATGTAATGAGGTTTTGAGAACATGTGTAGAAGTATCTTAAATGTTTGGTTTCTATTGGACATTCTTAGTGCGTAATGATTTTGGCACTTCAGGTTCAGCACATTCAGAGGCCAGAGTTCAGACATCAGGCCGAGCTGACCTGTCTCACTCAGCTTATTACGCCTGATATATGTCTCTTCCATCGATTTGTTGGTATTCAAGTCAATCAATTAAGGCTGTTTAACATAAAATCTCCAGTTAATGAGCTTTCTTCTTTAATAAAGTTCCAGTAACCTTTGGCTGTGTGACAGATTTGCTCTGGACTTTTAGCCAACAACCATGAATTATTGTTTACAGTAATAGGATTTTGACATTTTACACAAAGAAATATTGAAAAGAATGGTGAAAAATGTTTTAAAAAAAACTCATACTTATTTCTTGAAAAGACAGCCAGAGCTGCATATCTGCACACGGTTGCTCACAGGATTGACAGTAAATCGGCACATATGAAGGGATGAAATTTAGTGAAGTTGTAAATACTCCAGTATTCATGAATCACATTTACATCTATGTCAGCTCTGTTTACAAATACTCATCTACACACACATTTAAAAAACTTTTTGAATTGTCTGGTTCTTACAATTTAATTGTAAATTGCTGGATCTCGTAGGCTGGATCATGTTGCAGTTAACTACTAAAAATGCAGTTTTTATTGATATGTTCTTATTTCCCGGGGGATGGCCCGTGACCTTTGTAATTATGTGCATATCTTAGTTTGTACCGACACACATGTGCACAGAAAAATATATACCTGGTGTGCACCAGGACCCCGATCAATACTGTCACATATTGTCCACATCACTAACATCAGATGGTCATTATTAGAAGGTCAGTGTCCCACCTGCTGGGAAATTGAACACCTTGACAGTCTAAGATTTAATGGAGCATGAAAACTCAAATAGAAAAAGAAAAGAGAATTTAAATGCAGCATAATGAGGCGTCGCTGAGGGAGCTGCCCCAGATGCATGGCGGTTGTCTCAAACTATCCTCCATTTTGATAAATATAAGACATGACCCCTGGCAGGGATTTATATGTCTGATGTTGACTTAGTGTAAAAACAGCTTACTCTTTCCTCCTGATTGTCTTCATTTGATTCTGAATGAGGCTGCCTGAAGGTCACAGCTTTTTTTTTTTTCCTGAAAAGCTACTTCCTTTGTGAAGCCGGCTTCGTCACATATTTACTACGAAGCACCTAATGTTGCTTTTCTAATCTCCTCATCATTAACCACTAAAAGAAGTCAAGGTCAGTGGCTATTCTCTTTAAGCTGCGGACTGAGTAATAACTACGTTTCTTCTGGCTGTAGTCAGAGCCATATCTTTCGATGACCCTGTGCTAACAAGCAGGTGATTTACCGAGCAACCCCCAAATCCCACCTCTGTTGAACTTCATTAAATGTGCATGTTCTCAAAGAAACATTTTCAATTAATTTGGGATAGAGGGAGTGGTGGGGAGTAATTCAAATCCAAAGTCACTTCCATCTTAGCAGACAGGAATTTAGCAAACATGCTCCAGCTTGGGAACAATTAAATTCCCCCCCAAAAAGCAGAATTTTGTCTGTTTCATCCCTCTGTATTTACTCTAGCCTCCAAACTGTTCCAGACTGCAGTGCACAACCACAGCTGGTCCTCAAAAAGGAGGATAAATCAACAAATTGGGATGTATTATTCTAACGCTCACGTCCAAATGCACCAATCAGTGCTGGCAACAAGAGCCCCACCTCACACTCCTCGCATTAATCAAGATTACCAAACAGGCCTCACGAGTTGGGAGAAAAGCTGTTTTTTTGTTGGGATTTGGGGAGAATTTTAAGAAGAAGTCTGAGAAATGTCTGAAAATGCAGCGGAGGGAGCCCGAGAATTTTATTTTGTGTGTGTGTCGAGCGAGAATCATCAGCCTTGTTTAACAAACGTTGGCTTTCGGGGCACTGTGCATTCACTCCTGTTTTTGCGGAGTAGCTGTATTTAATATGCATATTGCTCTAGGCTGCAGAATGTGTGTGAGTGTGTGAGCAACATGCGTGTATGTGGTTAGCAGAGAGCTGTCAAGCTGGGTCCTAAGGGATACTTCTGGCCAACAGCAACATGTAATCTAACATGGAGGACATGGTTGGTAATTACCCACTCCTGGCCCTTTGGGGAGCTCTTTGAGTGACGGCCTGTCCATCTGCATACATGTTAAAGCTCATATATGGCTCAGTGTGTGTGTGTGTATCTGCTTTTACTCACTTGCGTAGCTGTTTGACAGTAAATTTTGGTCTTTGAAAGACAAAACCATCGAAGCCATTTTTCTGTTTACCCCGACCAAATATCCAATCCCGCTTTCCACATTATCCTTCAATCTGTTGCATCTTTGTCATCGATTCTAAAGTCTTTCACTTCTCCATAGCTCAGGTTTTCTACTACGGATGAATGAGACGAGAGAGGATTACTCTCATTTTCAGAAAAATAAATGAGCGTTTATTTGAATCAGAGGAGGGAGATTAAAGAAAAAAGCTGGAGTGGAGGGCAATGAGACAGAACCACTGGAGAGTGAGGACAGACAGACGGTGTTGCGCTGCGCTGATCAGACAATCCTAAGCTCAGACTAAACGCCCTCCTCTGCCTGTTTTATTAACGACATACGTTCTGTTAAGTTAAGCGACGCCTATGCACTCAAAGTGCACTCTTTAAAAGGAGAACTTCACAGTTTGCAAAGTAATATCCCTTCTGGTTTCTTTTTTCTTTTTATGTCTGGAGGGGACGGCAACCATCAACAGTATATTTCTTTTTCCATCATATGTATGAGTGTGTGTGCTTTTAGTTAGTGTAAAGGTCTTTCGACAAGGTATTTGAACCTTTGGCAAACAAAAAAATCTGTTAAGTGAGCTTGAGTTGTTCGGTAAATATTTAAGGACATTGTTCCTACAACCCCACCCGCTGTTCATTATGTACCATCTTTAATTCATAAATACCAAACTCAAATTAGTTTTCGTCGGTTCTGAAATATGAGTGTAGTTAAAAATGTTTTTCTCCCCAACTCTGCACAGGCACAAGAGGTCTTTATTAATTAATGAAGGGCCTGTTCATTATTCATGCACTGTAATGAATGTGTAAACGCCTTGGCACCCATAAAAGGCCTGAATCTGTGGGGTACACAGAGTTGGGGAGCGGAAGGGCCAGAATGTGTGGAGAGGCATAAAAGGACAGAGACATGATGAATTAGGAGAAACACGAGAGTTTGTGTTGTCTACAACCATTTAATCTTCTCGTAGCGATACGTGGCAACTGGATGTGGCTTAACACATAGAAACAGCTTTGAAAATGTCCATAGCTCAAAGCAAGTCAGTTCACACCTGGTTTGACTACATCTCTTCCTGTGCTTCTAGTAATCTCCAAAGATCTGGTCTCATTTCCCTCCTCTGAATGGGATCAAACACATACTGCTAACAATTACCTTTTTGTTTTGTTTTCTTAGCACTGGTCCAAAAGTCATCAGATGAAGATATTTTACATCTTTACTTACTTTACTTTATCAGAACCATTTAGATAACTGACATCCTGTGAACTTTTTAAAGCTTTAGAATCAGAGACATGCAGTGGGAAGAACAGAAGGCAGCACTTGAATGACAGGAACCGGACATTATCTCCACTCGTGCTCCTGGAAAAGCTCTCCTCTCCATGTGTGGGTGGCACACACGTTCATGTGTCTGTGTGTATTTCACCGCGAGGTGTTTCAGATTTACGAGCCACACACAAGTTTAATCATTAACATCAAACTTTAATTGCGACATTTAAAAAAAGTTTGTGTGCCAGATGAGACTACTGGGGTACTGCTCCACTCCCCCTGATAGATGAGCAGCGCAAGTAGAAGCAGTCGCTTAAAACCGCTTTGATATTTTCCCTCCTTAGGTCTTTGACCTTGCCTGCAAAGCAGTTACTTTTCCTCGGATCATTACATGGAAAAATGTTGTAGCAGTATGATATTTCAGATATTTACTCTGAAGTACTTCATGTTTCAGTACAAGGCATCTTAACGTGCACCCTTGTCACTCTGAGCTTTCCTTTCTGGAACCTCTAAATGGACTGTTTGGCTGCTTCCATGAACTGAAATAAGCTACAAATCGCTTTTTTTTAAATAATGCATTTGTGGACTCCTCGGAAAGTGACAACCTTCTCTAAATTCAATCAATCTTAAATCATTAAATCATTCTCTCACTTTTGCCCTTTTTTTGTAGTGACATTATATTCCTAACCAATTACTTTAGATTCTGCACACTTATCTCTGTATCCTGTCTGTTTTTTCCCAGCTATTGTACAGTTCTATGTGTCCCGGGATCTGTGTTAAAGATCCTGCTGTACTCTAAACTATTTCCTCCTCTTCTGAAAGATCTCTCCACTTTCAGATGAAGAATTTATTTCATGGCCGGTCTAAAATCCATATCCCATTCTTCACACACATCACATCTTGCAACATATGATTAGATTTACACCTGGCATTCTGGAATGCAGAGTGGTGGTGCTCTGAAGGATGATGGAAGATATTTGATAACCCAAAATTTGTTTTATTGCACAAATGTTATTTGATTGATAGAACTGTGGGGGTGGACTAAGCCTCAATTGCTATTTACTGGAGACTTTTAGGCTTCTATAGCATTTATGCTCAAGATTCATTATGTACATTTGTGTAAATTTAGGCAAAGCATTGCTGAGCAATTGTTTTGGAAAGATTCTTGTTTTCACATCAAAAGCACATAGCATTTTTTTTTCAAAAAATCCTTTTGTTGTTGAACTCTGGAACTTATTTTGGGTCAGTGGGTAATGATGCCATCTGTGCACAAATGAACCTGCAAACTTTATAATCAGGACAACAAGTTAAGTTTCCCCTTCTCTCTGTTTACTTGTTAGTCTTTCTCTCCTTCACTTTTCCTGCCCTCTCCTTTCTTTCCCAGAGCCACAGCAACACACCGAGGACAGATCATTTTCAAGGATGCGTTGGCCCAGCAGCTCTGTGAGCAAGGAGGTGGGTAACAAGGTCCACACACCGATACTGCTGTTTCCTCTCTGTGACATGACACATGCATAATGAATGCTTATACCACACTCACTGGTAGATATTTTCATACCTACACAGATATCTGTATGTTAACACCAACATGAGCAACGACACATGCACATGCACTATACCCCGTTCTTGCCTCTTGTCAGTCATACGAATGCATATGGAGTCAGAATGGATGTCACAAAGCAGGAGATATGATGCCTCTTCATGACTCTGCAGCACTTCCTCGCTTTCTTTCTGCTTAATGATGCACCCGGAGTTAGAGATACTCGAATGTCCTACATTGCCAGCTTAATTTCAGCTTATGCTAAACTCAGCGCACCCCCTTCCCGCTCTGTGTCAGAGATTTACGCTTTATGGCCAACACTTCTAACATCTACTTTCTGCGACAGCATTAAGTAGCTATTGACAGACAGTGCAGTTTCACTCTGCATGCTGACTGTGTATAATTGCTTGTTTACAGGAGAGGAGTCTCCCGCCTTCTCACTCAAGAACTCCTCCTTGTAGATTAGAAGAGACTTTAATGCTGAAAGTAGAGAAACTGTCTATGTGCTCCTGTGGTCAATTTTTTCAGAGCAAAATAGTAGAAATTGAGCCTTAGAGTGCTTACTGTGCATTAAACCTGAGTTGCATTTAGAAAAAAGAAATCCCAGCAGTGGTCAGCCTCTGGGGACTCTGTACAAAAACACCCAGAGTAGATCATTGAGACTCAGCTTGGGATGAAGCAAATGCCAAGCAGGGTGCTCAAATCCATGCCTTCGTACCACTTTGAAGAGATGAGGCATGGAGCCCAGTCAGAGTGACAGACAGAGTAACAACAAGGCTTGTCTCCTTTGTCTCCTTGCCTGAGAGCTCATCCTCTCACCACCCCTGACACACTGCCCCTGCACATGAACTATCTGGTGCCAACAACAGTCACTTATTTAGAAAGTGCCAAGGCCCCTCAGTATCACACATACCCACGGCAAACAAGCTGGAAAAAAATGGATTTGGACCTTACAAGGCCTCGGAGGGGGGCCTTTTCAAATGGGAGAGGATGGAAAAAGAAGCAGTGAACTATAGCTAAGGATGGGTGTGATGTGAGGTGAGATGGGAGAGTAGCCATGACAGTGATAAGGGATACACAAAGCGATTAGCTGAGGAATGCTGAGCTATAAATGACAGTGGTCACTAATGAGAGTTTTATCTCATCGGTGAAGGAGGACAGAGGGACAAATATGGTGGCGTGAAGAGATAGTGCTGACAAGAGGCTTGAGGGTCAATAATTGCAAGTGATCTGAAATTTGGGTTATTCTTGTTAATTGTCATCAACAAAAGTAAGTTGATGACTGCACTGTGGCAGGTTTATTTCTAATAATTATAGACTGTATTAAAAGAGACAGATAATTTGACTCTTGGTCTGACTCACTAAATTCAGATTTTCTTCCCCTTGAACAAAAACCCAAACTGAACTTCAACAAGCTGAGTAGATTTATCAAAATAAAAGAAGAAACATTAGAATTTAATCAGATAGAATTAAAAAAATCACATTTGGAAATGATTTTGGCTTCGCACAAACTACAACTGCACACGAACTGTATGAAGAAATGTTAATGCAAGTGTACATAAATCATGAATGCTGTCTTAGTTCCTTTAAATTTGGACTTAACAGTGGGTGAAACTTTGAGCTATACACTCTTCGTTCCATCTGGGATCATGAAGATATGTTCCTAAAAGCAGCCACAGAGTGGCAAAGAGGGTTAAGACAGCTCTTAACAGAGGTAGTCCAAATCTTGGTATTAGCATTCAAAGTGAGCCAAAAGAAGATATGGAGGCCAGCTCAAGCTAATTCAGAAGTTCCCCTTCTTAAGACTCCAGCTTTGAAGAACTGCACAAGTGAAAGCTATCTAAAGCTGGGTTATGACCCATGGAGGAGCGTGAGGAAAGGGTAAAAATGGATTGGTAGGATAGGAGTGGAAAAGCAGAGGACAGGAAATCAGGACAAATCAGCCGGACATGGGCAACAGTACAGGGCAGATTAGCCAATCAGATCAAGCAAGAATGTGCGGTTTAGTTTGCAGTGATATGGAGATGAAGAAATGCATAGACCATTTATATACGTTTTAAATGTAAAAACAATATTCAAGGATAAAAAGAGGAGGAGATAAATATAGTATAAACCCTTAACTCAGTGCAGTCTGTGACACACACCTCTTTGTTTCTCAGTTACAGAAAGCCTTTGAAAGTCTTTGAAGACATGAGCAAGAGCTGGATTTGTGTGTGTCTGTGTGAGTGTGTGTGTGGTGTATGTGTATGTGTGTGTTTGTAAGCATGTATTTCTGCGTATAGATGTGTGTGATTTAATTTGTCTCGCTGTTTGGGGGGATGTGCCCAAAACCTTGTGCTTGCAGGTCCTTTCTGCAATGCCTGCGCACTTCATCACCAATCCCTCGAGACTCTCTCAAAATCTTTCCTGTTCCATCCCTTTCAAGTTGCTTTGATCTACACTTAAAAACAACACTAGAAGTCCCCACATTTTGTCTTTACTTGTGGATTTAGAGGACAAAAGAATTGGAGTTTGACAGAAAGTTCTGCAACTAAATTAAAATCACAGTACCACGGAGTGTTTGTGACACTGTTCTGCTCACATGCTTAGAGATGATGTACATCACCACTTCATAGAATACAAATAACCACGACAGTTTTCAGTTGCAGAGAATTAGCAGCAAGCAACTTATAAATTTAAACAATTGTATATACCGAATGACCGTGAAAATATCAAAAGCTAAAATGGGTGAGGTGCAGAGGATGTTGAAATATACCGATCCGTTAGGAAAGGGTTGCTGGGGTGCAGACAGTGGAGTTGTTGAATGCCTCTGTTGGTCGTCTATCAGCTGCATCCTGTGACAGCAGGGCCAGCACCCCATGCTTTCTGCCCAGCATCCGCAGGTCCTCTCATTTCCAGCAAGAAAATAAATCAGACCTTTATGGGCCCAGCCAAGTGTATTGCACCCCAGATGGATTATTAAAGTGACATATAACTCAAAGAGGCCACTGCCCCATGAGGGACGCCTGATCACAGTGTAACACTGGAGGGATTGGTGGCTTAGCCTCTCCCACCTCCTCACCACCCACTAAGTCTGCTAGCCAGCCTGCTTGCCTGGCTGCTTGCCATTCCTCACTGGGAAGAAATCTTGAGAGCTTGTTTGTCTGAATTTCTTTCCCTCTTGAGTTCCTACTGCTATTTTCTCTAGTTTTTCTTATTATTTATCTACCTTGCCATACCTCTTTTCCATTCTTCTGCCATTTAGAAGCCTCTGTTTTTACCAAATCATTTGACTTAGTTATTCATCCATAGTAGCTGAGTCGTCTGCTTGAGCTGCTGTTCATGTAACTGTCACACCCTGAGACAGTTCTGAGGGACTTAAATGCACGACTCTGCTGACTTAATTAACAAAAGTATTTATCTCAAAAAATACAAACGAAAAGCGCTCTCAGGGAGCATATAAAAAAGAAGCAAAGGCACTCTGAAGGATGATCAATAATTGTAATTTCAGACTTTACTGTGGACATGAAAATGCTCAAACACTGAGAAGTCACAGTTGACACATCCATGTAACAACCAAGACAAACTTAAAAATGACAAAGGGAGAGAAGCACTATTTATAAAAATTAAAAAAAAGGGGAGTGAACACAGGTGAACCACTTCAGGGGTGGGCTGGACAATTACCGAGGTGGGAAAATAACAAAGGGAGGAAGTCTGGGTTTGAAACGAGAGGGAAAGGGTGAATACAAAAAAACAACAGGCAGTGCTTGATCATAAAAAACTGAACATAAACATAAATTCAGAGAACCTCCTCATTTAAATCGATCTGTGTCCTGGTGATTTAGTAATGGCAACCACCAGTAAGACAAGAGCAAGTCCACTTCAAATGCAGTTCATGAAATCAAGGATTTGAATCACAGGAAAAGAAAAGAGAGCAAAAAAACGAAAAAAACAAGGGGAAGTGTAATAGTGGGAGTTCAGTTTCCACAGTGTGGATAAGAGTGAGAAAAGATTAGAGCAGGAAGAGGGGGAGAAGATTTAAGATGACTTGTGCCCTGTAGTCTTTGTGTCAAGATGTCTGAGTCTGCCAAAGCTTACTCTCATTTGTCCCTACATGTCGTACCCCAACCCCAATCCTGCTCATCAGCATCCTTCAAATTTGACTCCTGGTGTGGTTTACTAAAAAGTACCTCCAAGTATTTTTTCTCGATTTTTGCTCATATGGTTGTGAAGATGCGTGAATGGGTCCACTGTGGACAGCAAAGCCTTCTGGATATGTGCGTATTTCCCTGTGCAAGACTGGGGATGCTTGTGTGTTTAAGCCCTGGCCAGGGAGATACAGGAATTAGTAGAGATGAGCTGCTAATAGAGGAGGCAGTAATTGAAGTCTTTAAGAAAGTGAGAGGGGATTAATCCGAGTGAAATGAGCGCCACTGTCTGCTCCTGATGCACAGAGGGTGAGGCAGAGAGAGAGAGACAGAGAGGATGCCATAGAGGGAGTGTGAGACAGCAGGAGAGTGTGATGAAGCATAGAGAAAGAAAACTGTAAATGAGGCCTTTTTGGAAGCTTGAAGGGATTATCCACCAAAAAAAGGAGGAAAAAAATCTCTTCTGGGCCTTATTCCAGCCAAATGTCCTCAATAGAAAAGCTGAAAGTGATTTAGAGAGTCTTGTTTGATACAGAGACAGAGAAAACTATGGAGAGCAGAATTATCAGTCAGCCAAGTGTTTCTGTCTGTGATTGTGAATTACCAGGAACTGACTATTATGATCCTTTCAGGTTGAACATATCAGATTAGCTATTTGCCCATCTCCTCTCCAAATAATTACAGACATATATTAATGTAAATTATAAATAATAAACAGAAGAGTTGCAGGTCCTGGGACTGATTGGGCCTCCTGACATATTGTGAATACTTGAGGATTAGAGTTAGAGGAAAGGAGATCGAGACAGAGAAAGAAGGCCCTTTGATCTCAGTTAAATGTGCTTTATTGCCAAGCCAGAACTCCAGAAATTGAGCTCAGCTTCCAGGGCCAGTGGAACAACAGCAGCAGTAGTATCCGTGCAGGCTACTAAAACTCCTCTAACTTCTACAGTCAGCATGAAACTTTACCACCACTGCATGAATAGTAAATCCATGCAGAAGAATGGAAGAATTTGGATCTATTGGCAGAAATGAGGGCAGCAAATCTTAGAGAAGCTTGAGCTCAAAGTAAAGACATTAACCGAGCCAAAACCGTAAAAGGAGGCCTTTTTAGATAATTCCACTTCATTTGATCCAGGTTCTGTTTATTAAGGGCTTTAGTTAGACCTACCCAAACCACTTAGAGTGAGTCATATTAGTAACTTAAAGCTACATTTTGGAACAAGTCCTCACTGTGTTATGTAAATGAGCCTTATCAGGTGATCAACTCCTCCGGGATGGAAAATACTGCAGTAGATTATCCTTCTTTTCATTCTAAATGTCTTTTAACAATCTTTGTAAAGCTGATCCAAAAAGATCTTCAGGTCAAGAAGTCAAAATTTGACAAAGGTAGCATAAGTAATATTTAACATAGATACATCATTAAAACGAGTCACAAAATGCATTTTGCTTCATCAACTAAATCTTAAATCTATGTGTTTGAAGTCTAAGGCTGCTTATGATCAGGTTATGTTTTTTATCATCAAAATTTCTTCCCAGCCACATGTGAACTCTTTTTACTAAAATGTGGATGCAGTTTTCTTCGCCAAGTGCTCCCAAGACTTGAGGTCCTCTTATTTTGGAATTCATTAACTTCTAACACTCCAACCCCCCTCCATTCACCTCAGCCCTCTCAGGGTTGTCTGTCCCCTGGGAGAGATTGATGGTTGAGCATTTTTGCTAGGCAGTGGCCACAGATTAGAGCATGCAGGCGCCTCTGGGGGAATGGTGGTTAATTGCCATTGAACCATTAATCATGGCAGCCTGCCCTTTCATCACTGAAAGGAATTAACATCAGTAGCCAAGAGACTTCAGCTATGGCCAGACAGGACAATGAGAAAGTTTGTTTTACTCAGATATGATGTAAGATTGATTCATTTTCTTAGCTCTCACCCACTGATACTGTGAAAAACAGCAAACATTCAACATATCAACAAACAGGAACTTGCCCCTACAAATATAAATCTTGGTTTAATCTGAACATAAACAGTAATGCCACTGTGGTCTTGAGCAGACAGTGTGCTTCTACTGTACACACTCAACGCTGTCCCCCATTAACTTGCTATTCTGTCCATTTCAGCTCCAACTGAATCCCCTTTAAGGCCTAATCTTGGTGAGTCTGCATTTCATTACATGCTGTATTCTTTTTTTTTAACGTTGTACTCACACTGGCAGTTGCAATATAAAAATAACGGGTATCATACGAATAGTTTTTAACTGTCAGCACATGGTTGATGTGTGTAGTGGAGCTTCACGGAAAGCATGCTGTTCTTCGGGATGACTTCGACTCCAACCTCCAAGGAGAGTTAGACCCCAGCATTTGGTAGGTGAAATTCTTATAAAACTCAGCCTGTAGGCTTTTACTTCATACACCTGCTCACCTACATGTGTGAGGACTCTATCACGACCCCCGTCTTTTCTCTGTTTCCTCCTCTCCTCACAGGTCGGAGTGCAGCAACTGTGAGGTCGGAGAGCAGTGTGGTGTGCTCATGCATGGCAGTGCGGTCACGTTCTGTGAGCCCTTTGGAGAACGAGAGCTGGTAAATGTTTGACCACAGTGCAACCGCTCTATATCGAACGGCCCATTGACCACACATTCAAACCAGCCACACAGTGGCCACAGCCACATCCACGCATTTCACACCCTGTTAGCTGTCAGCATACTGACAAGACACAGCTCCATTTGAGCCTGGCAGGTTCGGCGTGCCCTTTCCTTTAGCTCTTTTTTGCCCTAACCTTTATCTGAGGGCATTTCAGTGGATGTATCTCTCTGGGTTGCTCTTTTGCTCTTTTTACTCCTCTCCTTTTTCCTGAGCTGGTTCCAACTGCTCTGTCAGATTTCCATGCTGAAGCCTGGCTCTTAGTCAGTACCACTGCATCACCCACTCCTCTTCCTACTGCCCCCCCCCCCCCCAAATGTGTCTGGCAGATTCTGGACTTATTTGTGCTCATGTATCAGCATCAGTCTCCTCACTGGCATTCTTCCTCTGGCTGATTGGTGAGCTCTCTGCAGTCCCGAGAACCACATTTTTAACTGTAATAAAAATGACATACTGCTGACTCTTGCAAAAATATTTGAGATTAATAGAACGTTTACCCGAGGTGATTGAGAGCACACAACCAGTGCGATCCCAGTGCGTGCATCCCTCCCATCGGCCCTCAGGTGTCTTTGAGCCCTCAGTGCTATAAGGCCCACGCCTCATATCTGAGCCCCCAGAGAACTGGGCCCTTTAATCTGTATCTGGGTATCCTGCAGCCCTAAACAGTTCCTGCAGATTCCACAGATTCACGTTGCTGAAAAGGTTCCCTGAGCCGGCCTTCCTGCTCCTTCCTGCCAGACACCAAAGCGAGTAAGGGCCAGTCAACAAGAAGGAGAAGACAACGCCATCTATGTCCTTGCAGGGGGAGGAAACCCAATTATTACTGTATTTAGCCATTTTCTATAGTTTGTTTACTTGAGATTGCAATCCTGCTCTGTTCTGTTTGCTAGAATGATAACTAAAAATCTCAATGATGGTATGTGTGTGAGAGCAAGTTTGAGTTATCACTCAAAACTCTCATATACAATTGTTCTTCGTCTCATCATTTGTCCCCTTTCTGTCTCCACAAAGTTAACTTCAAACATGTTATTCTTCTGTTGAAGATTAAAGCCATTCCACAGCAGAGAATTGTTTAGTGTCTCATGATGCAGAGACAAAGCAAGAGCTTTACAAGACAAGCAGTGGATTTGTCTGTCACAGTTCCAGATGTTTGTTTCTGCTGCCTCGCAGCTCTTCCATCCAGTGCAACAAAATATGCACCAAAAACACAGGCACAAATATATATATATATATTATTTTATTTAACTCCTGACTTGAAAGTTTTCACCTTATAGAACCTCCACCCCACCCCTTCACTAAATTCCAAATTTATATTGTATTACCTTAAAATTACTGTACATCTTAAGCCAAATTTATATGCATTAATATTGATGAGAAAAGAGTCCCTAAACTTCTGTCCCGTACCACCTGGCTGCAGGAAGAGCTGATGGTGGGTTGCCAAGCAAACTTACGACATAGCCGCACTTAGCAGTTTTGCAGGCTTACAGTCATGCATATAAAACACTCTTTCTGTGTCTTTGAGCCTGTTACTGGTACGGTGCAAATCCTTTGTTGAAATATGCAGCCATGGCTCCTTGTTGCTCTCACAATATGTCTTCAGACATATATAGACACTTTATTTTCTTAATTAATAGGTTCAACTTATATTTTTCATTCAAACTGATCAGTGTCTTATCCTCTGCAGATCACTGTCCCTCTCAACACCAGTACAGCCTCTGTCCTGCAGTTTGCATTGGGTGAGTACTGAATCTACACAAGATTTGCACACCAAAACAACATTCGACAGAGTTTGTGTAACAGGTTTATTTATGAGGTCTTTGTTAATCTATGTTCAGATTTTAGACAGTAGTTGTGAATCTACGAATCAGAGTAAGCACAGACGATGCCTTTGTCATCTTCAGGAAATAGGCATGTTTTCCCCTGTTACCAGTCAGTAAACCCTGTAGCACACACAGTATGCATGCGTCTGTCTCTCTGTCCTCTCACTCTGCCTCTACCACAATGATGAATGATTTACAATATTCTTGAAAGACAGTAAAGGCCATGGCAAAGGTTTTGGAGGTGGTGTATTTTTCATGTCCATTACATGCATCCACTGCCTCTCATGGGAGCGCAGCAGAGAGAAAAATAGGAGCAGAATGTAGAGCAGTCCCTCCTTTCGTCTGGCCCACTCCTCTTCCAAGGTCATTCAAATGAGTTTGCATTATGGTGCTGTGGGGTTATATGAGGTTCATTTTCCTGGAATGGTGCTGTGGAGTGACACCAGTTCACTGTCTTTGGTGGGGATTGGCTCCACAATGCTATACTGCTATAGCTAATTTCCCATTCAAAAATGAATTTGAACAATTATATATGACTGTCCTATTCTGTATTTACTTCCCCCAGGCTCAGGTTCCTGCCGGTTCAGTTACTCAGACCCCAGCATCGCAGTGTCTTACAGTCTAAGTGGTAACGTCAACACCTCAGATGATTGGATCACACTGGAGAAGATCAGGTCTTTTTCTCTCTCATCACTTTCCTTTTGCCTCATCCATCCCACAGTCCTTCCATCTGTTATAAACACCCGCCCTCCCTTTTTCCCTCCTTCACACCTCCCCCTCTTAATTTGTCATTTCTCTCCTGTTTGTGTCTCAGTGATCCACCTGCTTTTTAATCCCTCTCTCTTGGCCTGTCTGTGTTTTGTCAGCTTTCAAACAGACATAATATGATATCACTGTCTCCCAACTATAATGTAAAGCTACAGCAAGTGGAGGCTATATTTTAGTGTAAACACTTGGACTTGTTCAGACATACTTTTTTTTAGTGTTTTCACTGTGTGTAGTCAATGGAAAATATCTCCATTTATGGCCAATTCATCCATAAGGTATTAGCTATGGATTTCTGTAGTTTCTGAATGTTCATTTCACAACTACAGTCAATAGGCTCACATTCACTTAGATCCCCACTTTGCGTATTTTTCTCTTTTCAGAGCTCCTACCAACAGCAGTACTGTGGTCCACCTGCTCCCCCTGCCACATTCCTCCAGAGCTGAGGCTGTTCGCCTGCGCTGGTCTCAGGAGACTCCTCATGGCCCTGAAGGCTATGAGTCCTGCTGGGGGCTGGACAACGTGCTCCTGATTAATTCTGCTCACAGAGTCCCCCTGATGGAGGATAACCTGGATCCCCCAGACACTGCTAACTGGCTCTTCTTCCCCGGAGCAACTGTCAAGGTACAACAATAAAGCATGGGACATTTCTATTGAACCCATTCATAGACACTCCAAGTTCACAGACAACGTGTTTATCGTGAAATTCAATCAGAAGGTTTAGTGAACACTTAATTAAAAGCAACTGCAACAAAAATGACGGAAAGTTATTTGTGAACATTTATGGACTCCAAAATGCTTCTGAACAAATGATATCCAAATGACAAATGATATCTCAACTGCTCAGTAGCTGAAAGTCTGCATCAGACAACAATGGGAGCACGTTTTTAGCGATAAAAAATAGAGACATGTTGAGAGAACAGGTCATGCAAGAAAAGAAATAAGCAAAAATTAGTTCAAATGAAGGGGAAATCTTAAAATTTTGGATTTATATTTTAGCTCTAAACACATGCTTAAGTCATTGTAACTGAACCAGAATCAATATCATCAACTGTGGTCTGTTAAGGGGAGAAAGTTACTCTCAGTTTATAACTAGAATACCAATGAAATAAAATAAAAACATTGTTTCATAACGTACGATCTCATATGTTTTTTTATTGTCCAGCATTCCTGTCAGTCTGAGGGCAATGCCCTGTATTTCCATGGTGGTGAGGGTACCGGCCACAGCTTCGCTTCCACCAGAGATATTGATCTGCATCGCGAGGAGGGAAGGAGCTACTGGGAGGAAGACTTTGAGAGCCCACCCTTGAAGTAAGTCAAAGTGATATTCAAACTTCTCCTCCATTTTCTCCATTACCAACACACACAGACTTACCTCAGATTGGTGGTGTTTTTATCTGTCTCTTCCAACATGTTATTTGGTCCACTGTAAAAACAAACTTAGCATCCAGTCGACATTTTATAGAGAAACCCTTGTTAATACATAGCACAGCAGCACTATGCAGGGCTAAAAGAAGAACATGTCATTTTTAAGTAATGTATGATCTGTTTTGGAGGTAAACAGAGCTTACAGATATTAGCTGTGAAGTGAGATGGTTGCAGGATAGTGTTGAATGTCTGTACTCATAAATATAAACATCGAAGTGGTTTGGCACTTGTCACTTGTCATATGTCATGTGATGAAACATGCAGCGTAGCACCAGTCACGCATGGGGCTGACACAGGTGAACGCCATACCTCTCACTGCTAAAGAGATGGCAGTCCATCTGTTCAGTGTACACACACCCGTGCAAACACACACTGGACAGGAGAAAACAAGGAAGTGCTGTCTGATGCACTGCAGGATGCAGGGAGATAAAAGTGGATAGCTGATAGGTGGTGTTACTGCCAGGGAGTAATTAACAGGCTCCGTGCACTGGGGCTGTCACTATGCTGTTCCATTAATAAGAACATAGAACAGAGGCAGTTTTGAACGGAGACTCCACGCCCTCACACCTTGCTGTCTCATGCCAAGATGCACTGCATGCGTGCTCTCACTCACCAGGCATCATGGCCTGACACATGTTTGAACAGGCATGGAGAATTTTTGTGATTACGATACACTTCACTAAGTGTCAATTAACCCAACAGTGGCTGTCACAGATACACAGAAAACCGAAAAACAGCAGGAAAGGGAAAGGGGAGAGAAAAGGAGCCACGAGAGGAAACGGGAGAATACAGGAGAGGGCTGCCACACTGGGCTAACTTCTGTCAGGGCTAATGAGAATCCTGTCCACTGTGCAAAAATACTGTATGGGGCTGCAGCTGTGTGTGCATTTGTATGTTTCTTTCCGGGCTTGATTTGTGCATTATTCCTGCCAGTGCATGTTTGTTTACCAGCAAGCATGATTTATAGCAATTGTTTCTTTCTTTCAGTAATAAATGTTTCCATGCTGCAATGCAGATTCAGGGTTACTCACTTTTATTTTCAAATAATGAAGAATTTGACATGGAATTTTGTTTGTCTTCATCCTGATAATTGTTGAATTTGTTTGAACTATTTTATGTAGAAAATATTTTGTGTTCATCCAGCCAACACTTCCTGTTCTCTTACTCAGCTGGGACATAGATGGAGCTGTCTACGGGACTAAGTGTGGAGAAATCGAGTCGGGAGCAGCACTAGTGTTTGAGAAGGAAGGTCGAAGGAGAGTGTGCACCCCATACCTTGACACTACATCGTATGGAAACCTCCGCTTCCACTTCACTATGGGTATGGACATTTTTCACACAATTTTCTTCAACCCTTTAGCTTAATGAATAGCACTTGGCATAATTTGTATTTTTGACATTCATAAATACAGCTGGGGGTGTTTTCTTTCAGGTGGTGGTGACTGTGATCCAGGAGAGTCACATGAGAATGATGTGATTCTGTTTGGGAGGTCAGAGGGCAGGAGGGACCGTGTGGTGCTCGACACTCTTCCATACTCTTCTTACAGGGTGAGATGCAAAACCTTCCATACCAGGAAATGACCATGTCAACAAACTTTTGAATCGTTCCTATATGACTTTTTTCACTTACTCATGAACTCTTTTACAATTCATTCAACCTGTTTCAATAAACAATTATTTTAAATCAAAGGCAGAAACGTATATTTGATCATTAGAAATTTTTAATATCCAAGTGATCAGTCTCAGGTTATCATTATCAACATTTTATAGTTAGTGGTTACTTTTAAATATATGTATTTACGCTTTATCCTGTTCTATCCCCCTCATTTGCCTCTCTTAGACTCCTGCAGTGGTATCGGTGGCGCTGCCATCCGAGCTACAATCACCAGTCACTCAGTTTTGCCTGGAGCAGCGGTCACATGGTGGAGCTCACCGTCATGTGTGGGCTGTGGATTTTATGCAGCTGCTCCCTGGGCTGCCTGGCACCCACACACATGTGGCTCAGTTCTCCATTAACCTTGGCTGTGGCTCGTACCAGCCTGCCAACAGGTGTGATACTTTTTCAGCTTAATTTGGCTGTGGTTACCTTTTAATTCAAGTTGATAGCACGAGCGACTCTTTCACAGCATTTCAAACCCTCAGTGTCAGTTAGATTTAGTGTTAAAATCTTTACCCTAGAGGGTGCTGTCCAATGGAACAGAATATCTGTTCAATTGTTGAATCAAAGGAAGATTAATTGTTGTTAAGGGACTGAGTTAACTGTGATTTTTCCAGAATAACACTTGTACAAACATTAGTTTGTATGAAGATCCTCTCTGCTACTTCTGGCTAGTTCTGATTGTAAAACAGGATTATTTTTCTCTCCGTCCATTAGCGTGAGCCTGGAATTTTCAACCAACCTTGGTCGTTCCTGGTCTCTTCTTCACACAGAGTGCCTGCCTGAGCTCTGTGCAGGACCCCATCTACCTCACAGCACTATTTATTCTTCTGACAACTACAGCGGGTATAAATCTGTCCAAATCCAAATATATTTGACTGTGCTTGTGTTAGCATGTTGTAATATGTTTGGACATATTGCACTTTGTTTCCTCAGGTGGACCAGAATCTCTATTCCTCTGCCCAATGCTGCCCTTACAGAGACTACCCGGTTTCGCTGGAAGCAGTCTGGCCCCGGAGAAGGCAACATGTGGGCCATAGACAATGGTGAGATATGAATCAATTTACTCATAATTCCACTATTCCACTGATTAAAATATGTCATTAAAAAAGGAGTATCTGATTGTACATATATATATATTCAGCTATTCTGACCGGAAAAAAAGCATTGAAATTATTTTATCTATCTTTGGTTCTTTTTAGTGTATATTGGACCGGCTTGCCTTCGTTTCTGCTCTGGAAGGGGACACTGTTCCCGCACAGGCTGCAAGTAATGATCCACATTTTATTACATCGAATAAATCTGAAATGTGTCTGCCTATCTGCTTGATGCCTTACAGCACCAATCAGCACTAAAATTAATCAAGTTGAATTATCTCTGTGATTTATAAAAAAAATGTTTTTAACATATCTGCCTTCTTTCTGTCCTCCTCTCCCTCCTCTGTCTTCAACAACCAGATGTGACCCAGGCTTCAGCGGCCCAGCATGTGAACTTGCGTCCCAGACGTTTCCAGCTTTCCTGTCTGAGGGGTTTTCCAGCCCACGGCTCTCTTCATACCACAGCTTCTCATCACTCCGTGGGGCTGAAGTCAGCTTTGGCTGCGGTGTGCTTGCGAGCGGCAAGGCTCTAGTTTTCAACAGAGACAGCAGGAGACACTTGGTCACTGCTCCTCTAGACAGCTCCCAGGCCAGGTAATGCCAGTGGTGATATATGGTGGTGTGAAACAAACTCCTGACCATGTTTTCTGATTTTAACACAGACATCAGGCTAACATGAATGTGCATATATAGTTTTAACAAGATCAGATTTAGATTAAGCTGATTTAGGAATAAGATTACTTTAGCTAGTTTGTCTTTAGCCTTGACTAAAATGTCCTGGCCTGTATTTTCTCCTGCTTTGTCCATGTGTGTTTCTCTCCTCTCCTGTGCCCAAGCTTGGAGCAGGATTGTGATCATGGCAAGCAACTCATATGAACGATGACATTGCAATGGGGGTGAAAATGTGGGTGACAGAGGGGGTGCAATGTAGTTAGATATGGCATCTGTGTTAGATTGATTATGCCTCTATGTCTGCCACCTGATGGCCATATTCAATGCCAGTTTCCTGGCTGAGAGAGTGAACAGCTGCCCAAAAGGGAAAACTGCTCTGCTGATGAGAGTACAGCTTCACCAAGGACAGAAAACTGGGTGAAATGATGATGGGATTTATAATAAATGTTCCAAAACATTAGCACCAGTGATGATTCTGTGCAGATACATGGATAAACATTACAAGTGCTCTCATTAGGACCCTTTACAATAAACATGGATATGTTGCGTTGAATTTTCTTGATAGTCTTAACTTAAGCTTTTTATTTTATTACCGCTTTCATGACTCGTCTTTTCTTGTGCTCTGCACCTTATTTTAATATGATCTTGGTTCTATCAATCTATCCATACCTGTATAATTGACCTATTGTTTGTACACTATGTCTGCCCTAGCTCCTGTTCTCCATGAACAATGAGAAATGATTCTACTAATGTCCCCACTACTTATCTGTTTCCTTTTTTGTTTTTTTTGTTGTTTGTTTGTTTCAGGTACTTACAGTTCACTCTTCGGCTGGGTAGCCGTAGCATCCTGAGCTCATGTCCTGCTCCCGACCAGCCAGGAGAGGGAGTTCTGCTACATTACTCCTCGGACAATGGCATAACCTGGACCTTGCTGCGCCACTACGCATACCAAGGTTTTCATGAGCCAAGGTACCTTTTCAGCTTTGAACATCATGTGTGCAAGTTTTGGTGTGAGCATGTGTCCATAGTCTCGTATAAATATGATTCAATATGGCGATTAAGATGCCATAAATAGCTCTTATCTACTTTTTAATTCTATTGGTTTTATTTAGTGTCCCCTTCCAGAACAGAAACTAAGGCAAGCCAGTCCAACACACACAAAAAAGAAAACAAAGATAGAGATAAAAATCCTTTTCCAAGTTTGGGCTCCATCATTTTTAGGTCTTGTAGGACCCTTCTTCAGCTTTAGAATATTTAACAGGGTACACCATATCAGGAGCATTTATCAGATGCAAGATGCAAATAATGGTTGTTTTTTATATTTGATATAAGTGTTTTCACAAAAACACAATGATGCAAGAAACATCATTGACACACAAAGAAGGAATTTTGGGGCCAGTGGAGTTCAGCTGTAAGTGTACTGGCATAAGTTGCTGTGTTCATTAATCCTGGTTATACTGCGCATGCTTTGTGTAAGTTTAAGACATTTAAAAAAAAAAACTCATTATTTACAAATACCAGAATGTGTTTGTGTAGAATTTCAGTCCAAGTTAGTGTCTGAGTCACTGTTCAGGCAGACTGTGAGATAAACACAGCTGACCTGAATGGCCTGTGCTGTATGTTTTTAGTATACATATCAGTGTCGATTCACTTTTTTGGTTGTCGGCACATGCTCTGTTTGTTTTTCTGAATTGCATAACAGTTATCAGTGAGGGGAGTGAGCAAAGCAAATAAACATGTTGATCTGTCTCCATTTAACAAAAGAGTTTGATCAGTTACCAGTTCCCATGCTATTCCCATGATGCACATAAAAATGCACATCGTCATCAAACCATACCGGTATAACTTTTTTATAACTGTGTAAGTTTGTGCCAAAATATCTTTTTCTTGTAATTAACCTTTAAATTAGTTTAAGTTAATTTCCTGTTGTGTGTTTTTTTTCTGTCAGATCTGCTAAATATCAAATGTCTATATATCACAGTCTGATTTCATGTACTTGTTGAAACTCATTCGTACCTCTCACTCATTATCAGGATTGTGTCGGTGGAGCTCCCAGCGGGAGCTCGCAAGTTTGGAGTGCAGTTCCGCTGGTGGCAGCCTTACCATTCAGGGCGTGGTCATGATGTTTGGGCCCTGGATGAAATCAGCATGACTTCTGTGCTTTTCAACACCATTAGTCTGGACTTCAGCAATGTCCTGGATGTCACCCAAAGTCTGGGTTTTTATCTGGGCCATGTTCAGCCCTACTGCCAGCATGATTGGACGCTGAGGTACCAAATATTTTTAAATAGAAATAGCACTAACCTGTTATTGTCTATCAAGGTTTTCATTTGTAAACAATTCTTTCCAGTATTTGTATTTCACCTTATTTCCATTACCATTTTCATTAGGATTTTCTTTACTTGATATGGTGTAACACAGACTCTGACAAATTTTGGAATGTCACCTTTTTCTTGACATTACATTCCAGTTTCTCTGGTGAGCCCAGCCCCGGCTCCAGTATCCGTTATGTGGAAACTCAGTCAATGCAAATCGGAGCATCCTACAGTTTGCAGTTCTCGCTGGTTATGGGTTGTGGCCGCGAGCCCTCCCCTCACATTGATACTCAGGTCCGTCTGGAGTTCTCCACAAATCACGGTCTGACCTGGCACCTAGTGAAAGAGGTAAGACGATTGTTAACATCTAACATTTGTTTCAATAACCTGTGCACACCTGTGACTAGAAATCGACCTCCAGGATAGAGACAAGGAAGCAGAATCTATTCCCGGTTATTATAAGCAAGCATTTTGATGTATCCATGATAGCTTGTTTACCAGCATGTAAAAAGTGTACTTAAATGTAGGATTTAGTTTCTCATGAGAACTTATCACAATCAGTTTTAATCACTTTTTTTTAAAGAAACATCATGCCTGTGCTCAAATCAGCTGGATGATTCCATGATTGAACATATATTTTCTGAGGGTAACTGGCAGATGAATATTCATAAGGCATTTATATCTGCCAAGATCATCAATGCTTTTGGAAATTGAAGTGAACTCACCAGAGACAGTAGTAAACTCCCACAGTGATTACAGCAAACAATATTCTATCATATAGAAACCCTTAATTTATCTTTACCCAGGCCTGTCTACCTGGCATGCCAAGCTGCTCTGAGTTCACAGCGCCCAGTGTCTACCACCCATCAGAATTTAAAGACTGGAGACGCATCACACTGTCTTTGCCGCAGAAGACATGGTAAGTTTTTGATAACATATCAAACAGCTTGGCATAAGGAATTGTCATTCACAAAAGTCACCCCCAATACATGGATCCCCTCAAGTTTCTTTTGTTGCATGTCTTTATTAAGTTCAAAAGACCATTCTACTGTCAGAAAGTGACATGTGTTCTGTTTATGTCCATTTTGCAATCAAACATAAAACATAACTGTATCTTGTGTGTCTTTGAATCCAAATTCATTTCAGATGGTTTCACTCATGAGCTGTTTTTTTCTGACCAGCACAGTATAGTTTATTTATACTGATCTAATGTCCATGAAAGTTTTAGTCTCAATATTTCATAGAAAAACATTTATCTTGTTGCAATTGCAGTCGGTGCAGCAATAGGCTTAAAAGATTTAGCAGATGAAGAATCAGTGAGTAAAAGTGTTGGACAGAGCAGTTGCAACCCCCACACCACACCAGTCTCCCTCTCCAACACATTAGAAATAAATGTACAGTTAGAGCTGGAGCACATATATCAACTCAAATAATCACATAAACCTTCCACATTCAGCACTCTGACCTCCACCTCCATTTCACTCGACTCTGCCGGCTCCTAAATAAAGGTGGTTCAATCTCCTGCAGATTGCAAGAGAGGTCAGCAGGTCATGGCAGTTAATGATAATAAAACAGGCGTGAACAAGGTGGTCTAAACTGAAATCGGTCAGTAAAGCGGCTGTCGAGGAGACATCTCTGGTATATAATCACCAGACTTAATACTCTCAGCTGTAGTTTCTGCTGACATTTATCATTGCAGCACATACAGAATACATAAAATGTTTGCACACACACATTCGCATCCACATCTGATTTTTAACACATATGATGTGATGATGTCCACGGCCTTCCTCTGGCAATATTTTATATACGCACCCAGACATGTCTTAAAGCTAACATTTGTCCACCAGAACATTAAAACTAAAATATTCTGTCCCCATATAAAAAGCAGATTGGAATGTATTATTTTAAATTATTATTTTATTATTATATTATTAGTTATTTTGGAAGTATTGTCACCTGTGTATGTATTCACACTTCTGTGTTCAGGTCCAGTGCAACACGATTTCGATGGATTCAGAACTATTATGGAGAACAAGATGAATGGGCTCTGGATGACATCTACATAGGCCAGCAGTGCCCCAACATGTGCCATGGACATGGCTGGTGTGATCACGGTCACTGCAGGTCAGTCATTCTGCTTAGACATACAGCTTGAAAGCTGTGTGTGAGGTATACAGTACAATGGCACAGGTGCACAAAAGTCTCTCTCTTTTCTTACAGGTGTGATGATGGTTTCTCTGGTACTGACTGCCAGCCATCCTCCCCTCTCTCGTCAAGTGTTCTCTCTGACTTTGAGTCCCAGGACGCCCTGCTGGCCACATGGCAGGAAGTGATTGGTGGAGAGGTTGTCACACCTGACATGGGCTGTGGGGTGGTGTCATCTGGATCATCTCTGTACTTCAGCAAGGTAGAATGACTACAAAGGCAGATTTTTACTTTTCCTGTGTTGTGCTTTGTTTTGTCAAATTATAATGTGATAGGATGGGATTGTTTTTAGGTCAAATACAGATTTAGATTCAGGTTGAGCTCCGTCTCATGTAAAATATTTCTAATTTGTGTGTCTCTTTGTGGGTTTGCAAAAAAGATTTATAGCTCACACATAATTGGCACACATCTAGATTGTGACTGAGCATGTGGTTAATATGTACTGTTAAAATGAACAGTAAAGAGGATTTTGATCGTCTGATAACTGCCTTGCATTTAATGCCAAAAACTCCTTCCCTCTGGATCCTTTAATTACCTCCAGTCTGAAAGTGTCTGCTACTACACTAAGCTCTCTTGAGTTCACAATTCTGACAGAATTGAGATGTACAATTTTCAGGCAGCTGCACATCTGCTGTCACTTTGGTACGACCTCCAAATCAGCATTCTCAGCAAGAATACCACTTTTCTCAGGAAATAGCTTCTCCTTATGCCATGTTTTGTATTCAAAGCTGTTTACGACACAGAGCCTCATTCCGGGTGTCTCAAAATAACAGCATTCAGTGTTGTATTTTGACCACAAATGTTCATGACCCACTATTTTCTGGCAATAATTTACAGAAAACTGCACACCATACGATATCCAGCATCTTTAAATGATTGTGTGTGACCTAATCTGTGTGTATCTATCCTCAAATTGTCATTAGGCTGGGCTGAGGCAACTGGTGAGCTGGGACCTTGACACCGAATGGGCTGAGTTTGTGCAGTTCTACCTGCGAATAGGTGGCGACTGGGCAGAGTGCAACCAAGCAGACAGCAGGGAGGAGGGAGTTCTGCTCCAGTACAGTAATGATGGAGGGATTAGCTGGGGCCTCATCGCGGAGATGTACTTCACAGACTTCACCAAGCCTCGGTAAGAAACCTGAAATGGATTACACTTTTATCATTTGTCCTACCTAGTTTACAAGATCTGTTTTAATGTTTTGTCTTGAAAATAAATGGTCTATAAACTGATTTAACCTGTCTCTTTTGGCAGCTTTGTCCATTATGAGCTTCCCTTGGCCTCTAAAACACCCTCCACAAGATTTCGTTGGTGGCAGCCTCTTCACTCTGGGGAAGGGTATGACCAGTGGGCCATTGATGATGTCATCATTTTGTCAGAGAGGGAGAAACACATTATTCCTATGGCCAATCCTACCCTCCCACAGGTCAGGATCCGTCCAAGATGCTTATTCTATAGCTTATAATTTGCGCTCATAACTCATGCTGCCAATCTCTGCTTTCTCTTTAGCCACATTCTTTAAGACTAAGCTAGCACTAAGATAAAGCAAATATGAATATGCATCATTGCAGATACTGATACATACTGGAAAAAATGTACCAATAACACTCCACTGTTTTTTTTGTGTAGAATTTTTACGAGAAGCCAGCATTTGACTACCCTCTGAACCAGATGAGTGTTTGGCTGATGCTGGGAAATGAAGGCATGGAAAGAGAAAACAACAACAGCTTCTGTGCACCAACTCCCTCTGCGATGGTATTTGGGCGCTCTGATGGGGACAGGGTAGCTGTCACCAGGGACCTGGCACTTCGTCCAGGATACACCCTTCAGTTTAAAGTGAGTGAAATTTAGTCAGTAGGTTAAGATCAAACAGTTCAAGAAGCCATAATGCGTTTTTTCTTTTTTGATATGACATTGTTCCCTATTTTTATCACTTGTTTACCCATTTTCAACTCTTTCCTTACTAGCTGAACATCGGCTGTGAATCAGAGTTCAGTACGTCGGCCCCGGTCCTGCTGCAGTACTCGCATGATGCTGGTCGCACCTGGGCCCTGGTCGGAGAGGGCTGTTACCCAGGAACCCCGGGGGCAGGAGTCTGTGAAGGCAGCGGCCGTGAGCTTAGAGAACCTACTGTCTACAACACTGGGGACTATGAACAGTGGACCAGGGTTACTGTTGTCATACCTCGTCACGTTGCTGCCAGGTAGCTATGGCAACAGAAAAGTAGTTGAATCCAAAAAGACGTTAAAAATCAGAGATTTGTTAGAGGATTTTCAGACATTTTGGTCTAGTCCCATTCTACCATTGCTGCTCACATACATGCATTGCAACAGGAGGCCCACTGTTGGAGATTTGCTATCAAAACAGACAAACTCTCACAAGCAAATACACTTACACTCACAGATTTCCACAACAACAGCTGAAGCATCAGGGTGTCTCCCGGCACATTCTTACGTTGTCTCATCAAATTACATTCCAAAGATTTATAGAAGGGATGGATGAAAAACCTCTGTATGTTAGTATTTTGGTATTGTATTTTTCTTTTAAATATTGTGTTATTTTGTTAACATCTCGCCCTCTCTCTCCCAGTAAAACCAGGTTCCGTTGGTTCCAGGAGAGTAGTGTGTACCGAGATGCTCCACCTTTCGCTTTAGATGGTGTCTACATTTCAGAGCCCTGTCCAAACCACTGTGGGGGGCATGGCGATTGCATATCTGGAGTCTGCTTCTGTGATATGGGATACACAGGTAGTGCACAGACAGCAAAAGAAAACGGAGGAAAAAAATTCTTGTCCATTATCGTATTTAATGTATGATTCTCTCTTTTTTTCCTTAGTGGAGCAAGATAGTTGTGTCCCATCTGTAGCCTGTCCTACAGAGCTGACTGAGGGATTTGAGGGGAAGCTGACTCCACTCTGGCAGAGCATCAGCGGGGGACAAATTGGAGGTGGTTGTGGCATTATTGGGGAGGGCAAAGCACTTTACTTCAGTAGCCCTGGGCGGCGAGAGGCACAAACAATGCCTCTAGATACCACAAACACAAGGTGAAAGGTGTACTTTATCAGCTTTGGATATCTAATCACTGTGTTAAGTTTCTGGAATATTAGATCCAGTGTTATTTTTATTCACATAGGTTGGTTCAATTCTACATTCGAATCGGCAGCAAGAGTTTGGGACCCACCTGCACCAGGCCACGATCCCGCAACGAGGGTAAGATTCAGACCATAACATTAACCTTTTGTGGTAAAACCCTCTGCTGGATTTATGTCAGTTGCTTCACACTCACATAAATCGAGCCGGTTTATCAGTCAGTGGCAGTAACCCTCCCCTATCTCTGACAGTATTTCCTTATTTTGTGGTTTCAGGTGTCATTGTTCAGTTCTCCACCAACAATGGAGTCCAGTGGCAGTTTTTGAGAGAACTGGACTTCAGTTCCTTCTTAGAACCCCAGGTTGTAACCATTGAGTTACCACCTGCAGCAAAAACCCCCTACACAGTATTTTGGTGGTGGCAACCACAGCAAGGTATATGTGCAGCTGACAATCAACACACAACTCAACTGCATCATGGGTTTCAGTGTTGACCAATAGTTTTGCTTTTGCTTCTCTCTCCTTCCAATTTTATTCTGCTAGGGAAACATTCTGCCCAGTGGGCTCTGGATGATGTTCTGATTGGAATGAATGACAGCTCCAGAACAGGTTTCCATGACAAATTTGATGGCTCAACTCCTCTGAGGCATAACTGGTATCGCATTCAGGGTGGGGAAGTGACCGTGGACTGTTTGTCTCTGGACACAGCACTTACCTTCAACTCTGAGGCCATAGACAGTGAGTCACACAAAGCCATTTCACTTATTTGGGATAGATCTGTGTTGAGAAGTTTAGCAGGGTAAACCTGCTGTATCTGCTGTGTGCATCAATGTTAGTATATATTACATATAAGTTTGAGATTTTGAAACTAAATATGAATAATGTGAATAGACTAATTGAAAACTTGTTTATGTCAGAAAAATCTAAGGCAAATGTACAAATATAAAGTAGCACTAACTGTGGACAATATTATATTTTTTCTCTAATAACACCTCAGACCATGCGTGAGCGTCATAAACATACATATATTTGGATTGAGTCAAGCCTAGTCAGTCTAAATGTAACATAGGACTAGATGAAAACACAAAAGAACATCAATTAAACCAGTAGGAAGAACTTATCTCATCCTAATTTGGGAGGGTTTATAGTCATCCATCCATCCATTGTCCACCGCCTATCCTTTGGCCTGTTCGGACTCAATGTCCCCCACCTGCCTCAGAACATGATCGAAGCTCTCTCAGAGATGGGAGTTAAAGCTCCACCTAACGGGGGACTCCGCCAGGCGCTCCCAGCAGACCCTCACAATTTATTTGGGCCTGCTGGGCCTGACCAGTATCCTGCTCCACCATCAGAGCCAGCTCACCACCAGGTAGTGGTCAGTGGAAAGCTCCACCCCCCTCTTCATCCCCTCTAAGGACTCCAAAAATGGTGGACAATCTGCACTGTTGTTAGGCGCATAAGCAAAAACAACAGTCAGAACCCATACCCCACCCAAAGGCAAAGGCAGGACAGTCTCTCATTCACTGGGGTGAACCCCAATGTACAGGCGCCAAGATGGGGGGCAACAAGTATGCCCAATCCTGTTTTGCGTCTCTCACTGAGGGCAGCTCCAGAATAAAAGACTGTCCAATTCCCCTCAAGAAGACTTGTTCCAGAGCCCAAGCTGTGCGTCGAGGTGAGGCCAACTATAACAAGCAAGTATCTCTCCATCTCGCACACCAACTCAGAGTCCTTCCCCGACCAGAGAGGTGACATTCCACGTCCCAAGAGTCAGCAAATATAGCCGGGGATTGGTCCCCCAAGGTCCCTGTCTCCAGCCACCACCGGTTCCACATAGCCCCTCCCATGACTGGTGAGCCCATCGGAAGGGGCACCCATGTGACCTCTTCGGGCTGAGCCCGGCCAGGGCTCCATGGGTGAAAGTCCGGCCACCAGGCACTTGCCAACAGCCCCAAATCCAGGCCTGGCTCCAGAGTGGAGCCCCGGTGGCCCACGTCTGGGCGAGAGAACACTATATCCATTTATATTTTTCATCATAAGGGGTCCTTGGGCAGCACTTCGTTTGAACTCAGCGAGGACCTGTTTGCCTTGCTTGACCCCACCAGCGGCTTAAAGGCCTGGACAACATAGCTCCTAGATTCATTGGGACACTCAAACAACTCCACAATGATAAGATGGCAGCCCAGGGAGGGGATATATTGATGTATATCTTTTATATACATATTGATATATTCATCTACATCAATATGAACACCTGCATATTTAGAAAATGTACATAATTAATTTTGTCAAGAATAAATAGCATAAGCATAAATAAACTGTCCATAGTGAATGCATGTATTATTTATATAATACATATAAATTACAATATATATGAACACTTATAAGTGCAAAAAGAAGCCAAAAAGTGTCGACATGGGGGAAATGCAGTACTACACCAAACAACAAGCTGAAATTGAATCACCTATTTGCTGTTGTGTTAGGGATCCTGCATGATTAATGAGAGGAAACCTGATTGAACATTATGCCTGTTATAAATGCTTTAATCAAGCTGTGAGAAGATTAACTTTGTGCAAATAGAACCTCACAACAGGACCATTCATTAACCATGCACAGCAAGGGTCATTTGGCAGCACATCTGTAAACATAGGACTCCTGTGAGCCAGTGTGAATTTAGGAAAGACTGATTATCAAACTCTGGATTATCAAGCCTCTCAAATATGCTGGAACTGTAGATAAATGTGGGCATTCATGTCATAGCTGTAGTTATTGTTTTCAAGGGAATGTTTGAGTTTTACTTGTGTATTAGGACGAATGATTAATGATAAAAATAATTGCTGAGGTGGTTAGCACTGTTTTTATTTTTTATTTTTTGTTGCTAAAAACACTTCTTGTATCAATTTTTAGAATGTGGTCCCACCACTTTTAAAGCACAGTAAATATTTAATAAACATATAATGTAAAGATAACATTTGCTAAAAAGCCACAAACATTTACAATTTTAGTGTTCTTTCAAACAACTTATCATCTATAATAAGTTTATCATATCAGGTTAATAATAATTTTGAGTTGGATTGATATGTATAAGACATGGGTTGTTACACAGATGAAGTTAAAACACGTTACATTAATTGAAGTCACCTCACAGTGTTTGGGCAAAAGCAACATAGATAAAACTAATCACTGGTAACTGCTTTGGCCGGTTGAAGTAAATGCAGAAATAGCTCATCTTGTTATCCGCTGTGCTTGCAGAGAAGCCAAGATATGCAGAGAGCTGGGACTTTGAAGTGACAGGGTCATCGTTCCTGCAGTTTGAACTTAGTATGGGCTGCAGTAAATCTACTTCCTTCTCCCACGGTGTGCGACTGGAGTACTCCACAGATTGTGGACGTCACTGGTCTCTCATCACCCCTGAGTGTGTGCCCCCAGCCATTGGCTGTGCCGGTTATACCCAGAGTTCCATCTACACGTCAACCCAATACAAACACTGGAGGAGAATCACTGTCTATCTCCCCAGTGCTGCTAAGTATGTGCTCTTGTGACCCAAACTGTTTAATAAAGTTTTTATTTTTCGTAAAAATTTCATTCTTATTGTACTTTTAACACTTTTACATCTTACAGTTCTCCCAGAACTCGGTTCCGATGGATCCAGACCCACTTCACCCCAGGGGCAGAAGGATGGGCTCTTGATAATGTGCTACTTGCCCCAGGTTGCCCCTGGATGTGTTCTGGACATGGTCTGTGTGACAATGGACGCTGTGTGTATGTAACAGTTTTTGGTTTCTTTACCTTATTTTTTCCACAATTTATTAACTTCAGCCTTTTGTTAATTTTCAACCGATTTTCTGCCTCAGTGTTGAATGTGCGGAACTTTCTCTCACTCCAACACAGATGTGATAAGAATTATGGAGGAACACATTGTGTGCCCTTGGCTCCACTTCCAACTGTACTGAGAGAGAACTTCAATGAGAACTTGCAGCAGGAGACGTGGCCAGAGGTGTACGGAGCAGAACGGGGGACTTTGAGTGGAGAGCCACTCAAATCTGGCACTGCTCTTATTTTCAAAGGAGTGGGTGTCTTAGATCAATTCAAAGAGCATTCATACATGAACTTATGCCATGATGTTACATTAACATGCGCCTTTTTTTCCCCCCCTGTAGGATGGTCTGCGAATGATAGTGTCCCGAGACCTGGACTGTACAAACACTCTCTACATTCAGTTCACATTTAAATTCATCACTAAAGGTAGTACAGAACTCACTATTTATTTGGCCCAGATGTATTTTGCATGTGCTGACAATGTTTGTAGCCCAAAGATTGACGTAATAATTGACTCTGTGGGCCTTTTTAGGTGTCCCAGAGCGCTCCCACTCAGTGCTGCTGCAGTACTCAGTGAACGGGGGGATCAGCTGGATGCTGCTAGATGAGTTTTACTTCCCAGCTTCCACAGATACTCTGTTCCTCCACCTGTCACTACCAGCCAGTGCTCAAACAAACGCCACACGTTTTAGACTCTGGCAGCCTTACAACAGTGGTAATTGTGAAAAGAAAGCTGAACTTTCTTTGTTTATATTTCATCGCATTTTTTTCAAACTTAGTTTGAGTCATTCTTTTCAATCGCACAGCCATCTCAGACTTCAGTCATTAATATAGTTTGTAATAATGATGGTAATATCATGCTCTTTAGGTAAAAAGGAAGAAGTATGGGTGATAGATGATCTCATCATTGATGGCAGCTCCCTACACAACCCACCAGTGGTGATTGACAGTTTTGAGGAAGGTCCCAATGAGTCAAACTGGCTCTTCTTTCCTGGTGGAAACACTGGGCTCTACTGTCCCTACCAGAAGGCCGGCCTGTATGAAAAACCCAACTCAACACTGTCAAAGATTTGCATAAAGATGCTGTTTTTTTTTTAAACTCAGATTGGTCTTTGTTTGTGTTTTCATTTACAATTGGTGCAGTGAGGATGACGAGTCAGCCATGGTCTTTATTTCCACTGAGCTCGGAGAGCATTCCATAACCACCAGGGACATTGATGTAAACGAGAACACCATCATCCAGTTTGAGGTACAAACACTTCCGTTCAAACCAATGGTGAAAGAACTCGACTCATGACGGCTGTCAGTCAATTCACCCGTGTAATTATCTTTGTAGATAAATGTGGGCTGTACAGCTGAAAGCTCCTCTGCTCATCCAGTGCGACTGGAGTTTTCCCGGGACTTTGGTGCCACATGGCACCTCCTGGTTCCCCTGTGTGCGGGTGGACCTCAGCCCTCCTCCCTTTGCTCCACGGAGCTCCACCCCGCTAGCATCTATTTCCCTGGTACCAGCCAGGGCTGGAGGAGGGAGGTCATTCACTTTGGCAAGCTTCGCCTCTGTGGGTAAGGATGGCACACGTCTCCAGGCAGCCAGAGCACAACAAATCTGTTTTGCTTTAATGTCCTCTCAACATTGACTGAATTGTTGTCTGACCTGATCTTTTCATTTTGTTTCACCTAAATGCAGGTCGATAAGGTTCCGTTGGTATCAAGGTTTCTTCTCGGCTGATTCTTCTCCTCCAACATGGGCACTGGACAATATTTACATTGGCCCACAGTGTCAGGACATGTGTAATGGTCACGGGGCTTGTGTGGGTGGCACTCACTGTGTGTGTGATCCTGGCTTTTCTGGATCTGACTGCTCTCTGCCTGACACCCCCAACCCCGACTTCCTCAAGGAGGACTTTGAAGGTGCGACCTGTGTTGACATGACATGATCAATGTGTTTCTTTTTGTGGTCTTATTTCTTACTTCTTTGTTTCCAGTTTGTTAAATAGATGAGTTTCTTTATGTTGTCTGCGTGTCTGTTAGTTCAGCTGTGATGTGTTTGCAATTGGAGACTGGAGATTTAGCAATTCCGTAATGCGTTACACTTCATCCTAAAGGAGGAGCCGTAGATGCTGAGCATTTCATACTTCTGAGTGGGGGTAAACCATCCAGGAAATGTGGCATCATGTCAAGCGGGAACCATTTGTTCTTCAGTGATGATGGTTTACGCATGTTAGTCTCCAGCGACATGGACCTGTCAAACGCAAGGTATACTTAAACGAACAGAGGAAAACAATATTGTTTGAATAACAGATATTTTTAAATCTGCTGTTGGCACTAAAAACTCCATATGTCTACGCCAGGTTTGTTCAGTTCTTTCTTCGACTCGGCTGTGGGAAAGCTGCTCCAGACCCTCGCTCTCAGCCGGTCCTGCTGCAGTACTCTGTGGATGGAGGTCTGACCTGGGGACTCCTGCAGGAGTTTCTTTTCAGTAACAGCAGTAATCAGGCTCGCCTGGTGGCCCTGGAGATTCCCCTGCGTGCCCGTACCCCATCTACCCGTCTCCGTTGGTGGCAGCCCTCAGAAAATGGACATTTTTTCAGCCCATGGGTCATTGATCAGGTAAACTAGATGGCCATTAATCCATCAGTTAAGGATGTTATTATTTTTTCATATATCATTTTTATCCTGACTAAGAAATTAGATGAAAATTCGAAGTCAGCTTTCTTTTGCCATCTCTACATCAACTTAAGAAAATAATGTTGCCCCCAGGTGGTGGTCGGTGGCAGTGCCAGTGGCTGGGGACCATTAGAAGATGACTTCTCCTCAATCGATGGGCGCTCATGGCTCCTCCACCCTGGGGGAACCAGAATGCCAGTTTGTGGTTCTGACGGGCCTGCTTTTGCCTTCATAGAGAAGTCCAACACGCGCTATGCTGTCACCACTGACATCAGCTTGGGCCAAGATGCATTTATCCAGTTTGACTTTTCTGCATCCTGTTCAGTTACAAACTCTTGTTACTGTGAGTAAAAGTAATCACAACTAAAATAATAAATATTAATCTATATTATATATATTACTTTTGTAGATTTTCTTGAACATTTTCAGGATATTTAACATCCAAACAGCCACAGATAGATGTAGCCACATGTAGATACATGATTAAACAAAGGTGTTGGAGCAATTTTACGGAAGTCTGTCTCTACTGTTTATTTGCAGATGTGGAGTTGGAGTATTCACTTGATTTGGGTCTAACCTGGCATCCTTTGGTCCGAGACTGTCTGCCTACTAGCCCGGATTGCTCTTCCTACACTCTGCAACGGTTTCTGGTTTCTGACACTTACAACAAGTGGGGTCGAGTGACCTTGGCTATCCCATCATATGCCAGGTCAGAGAACGCCAAGACACATTTGTCTGGATCACAACTTCAAGATTCTGCTTGACTTAATTTCTGTATGATTTTAATCACTTAAAGTAATCTTGTACTTTTGTATTTAGGTCTCCAGCCACAAGGTTCCGTTGGTTTCAGCAGGCTCCCTTTGACAAGCAGCAGACCTGGGCTCTGGATAATCTCTACATTGGAGACGGCTGTCCAGACATGTGCTCCGGACACGGCCGCTGCCAGCAGAGCTCCTGTGTGTAAGTAACACCAGCTTCACACATACATACCAACATTTTGGTAGTAATCTGTGGGGAAGTATCAAATTATAAACCTTATCTCTAGTTACTTTTACCAGTATAGCTATATATGTATTTATAATTATGTTCTGAATGTAGTCAGTAGCTTACATGTGTCTGAATCCACCATCATCCTCAGGTGTGACCCAGAGTGGGGTGGAGAGTACTGTGACGAGCCTGTGGTCCCCCTGCCCTCCCAGCTGAAGGACAGCTTCAGCCGAGCGCCCTCACTGAGCCACTGGCACCTAGTCACCGGTGGCAAGCTCAGCACTGTGTGTGGAGCTGTGGCCTCTGGAGCCGCTCTGCACTTCAGCGGGGTGTGTAACTTTGTTGTTAAGGTTTATTTTTTTTATACTTTTTAAATAAAACTTAAATAGATTCCCATGGATGTATTTCAGGTGTCAGTGGTCTCACCTTTCATTTGTTTTAAAAAAAAGTGAATGAGGCTTTGCTTTGATTGTGTAGATTTTGATAAAACCATATAGATTAATTTTTGTTGGCATTTGTTTTTTTGAACCTCAGTGTGATCACATCTCTGTCCCTCTTTGCACAGGGTTGCAGCCGTCAGCTGGTGACGGTGGATCTGAATTTGACCAGTGCAGAGTTCATTCAGTTCTACTTCATGTATGGCTGCATGATCTCACCAAGTAACCGCAACCAGGGCGTCCTGCTGGAGTACAGTTTGAATGGGGGGATTAACTGGCATTTACTGACAGAGATCTTCTATGATCTGTACACCAAGCCTGGGTATGTTTTTTATTTCTTCTACCAAAAGCAAAGAAATGTCTGAACTTTTTGCACACACTAAGATTCGACAGCAGAAGCAGGACAGCTGCAAATCTCTATTGTTTGCTTCTCCAGTTTTGTCAATGTGTTGCTGCCCCCTGCTGCACGTCAAGAGGGAGTCCGCGTGCGCTGGTGGCAGCCTCAGCACGACGGGGTAGACCATGGTGACTGGGCCCTGGACAACGTCCTTATCGCGGGCTCAGATCCACGGGCACAGATCTCAGACACATTTGGAGGGGTGGCACTGCCTAACCATGAGAGAGCTCCCGCTGATGAGACTTCAGGAAGGATAGGTCAAGTAAATGAGCAGGAAGAAACAACCATAGGTATCAATAAGTCTCTGCCTTTTAGCTCTCAGCAGATTAGTTTAACCTCATCGGCATCTCACTGTTGTTTGTCCTTCTCTCTTCGCCCCACAGTGAGTGATCATTGGTTGTTCTCAGAGGACTGCACAGTGCAACGCTTCTGCAGCTCTCCTGATGGCGTGATGGTGTGTGGAAATGCTGATGGGAGAGAGGTGTATGCAGTCACTCACGATATTGTTCCAGGCAAAGGCTGGGTCATGCAGTTCAAGGTAATGAATCGAGTTTGTCCCAATTTTTTTAATGTATTCTTCTATTTATTTGTATTGCATCATTTGTGTTTCAGTCTGTCAAGTGTTTGGCTATTGTCTTCACTTTAAAGGGTGGCAGTGCTTAACTGTGTCAGTGCCTGTTTCCTTCAGATTGCTGTTGGCTGCAGCGTTCCAGAGCGCCACGCAGACCGGCAGGTTCATATTCAGCATTCGGTAGATTTTGGAGTCAGCTGGAAGTACCTGGTCCCTCAGTGCCTGCCTGCTGACCCCCGCTGTGGTGGCCAGGTCTCCCAGCCATCAGTCTTCTTCTCTGCCGACGGCTGGAAGAGGGCAGTCTATCCTCTGCCGGACAGCCTAGCCGACAGGTACGTTGCTCCAAGTCTGCCGTACTGCCCCTTTCAACTGATATTGAATCAATTGTCAATTCTTAAACATTTTATATCACATCACTTGATTCACGGGCCCTGTCTTTCCCTCAGTCCGGTGCGGTTCCGGTTTTACCAGCAGCACTCCGACATTCAGTGGGGCGTGGAGAACTTTTACATCGGGCCAGCATGTGACGGCCACTGTGGGGGGCATGGCGATTGTCTGGATCAGCGCTGCCTCTGTGATCCAGGTTTTACTGGACCAAACTGCTATGCAAGCTCTACTCTGAAGGTAGCCTTTAAGGGATTGTTTTACATATCTGATGAGCGAAGCATTTTCCTGATGTTTTGAGATGGTCTATTACTTTTTCTGTTCTTATTTGTCCTCCTAAAGGCGTCCCTTAAGGAGCGCTTTGACTGGGAGGGGACAGCAGGCCCCCAGTGGCAGGTGCTTGAGGGTGGGAAGCCCTGCACAGACTGTGGTGTGCTGGTTGAGGGGACAGCCCTGTACTTTGGGGGGGCTGATGCCCGACAGGCTGTCACTGCTGATCTGGACCTCCGTGGGGCCAAGTTAGTATTCAGCTGCCACCCGTAACAATTGGAGACACTCGGTTTATTGTGTCACTCTAACCGCATCATGAATTTTATGTGTTTTTTTCGGAAAGGTTTGTGGAATATTGGGCGAGGATTGGAAGTGAAGATAACATGACCATGTGTCACCGTCCAACTTGTCGTAAAGAGGGGGTTCTGCTGGATTATTCTACAGATGGAGGTATACAACTACAGCATGCATTAAAACCTTTTTTTATCATTTTTTTTAAAATATAATTTGATCTTTCATCCCTTCAGTTCTATGTAACGGTCTCATTTTGTTTGTTTTTAGGTATTTCCTGGACACTGCTGCATGAGATGGACTATCTGAAGTATGTATCGGTGAGGAGGGACTATATTGTTCTACCGGAGGGAGCTCTGACCAACGCCACTCGCCTGAGATGGTGGCAGCCCTTCACTATTTCTTCTGGCCTTGCCACCCCAAGCCTGGAAAGAGCCCAGTGGGCTATAGACAACATCTTGGTGGGAGGATCAGACATCAATCCATCCACACTGCTGGACACCTTTGATGATGGTGAGATTGTTTGCATTGATGTACATAGAGGCCGAGGGCATTTTTGCAATAAATGCACCAGTTAATCACCTTTGTATTCCATCATGCTGCTGCATGGTTTCGTCTCTATAGAGGGTGTTTCTCATGAGGAAAGCTGGAGCTTCTACCCTAATGCTGTACGTACAGCTGGTTTCTGTGGAAATCCTTCCTTTCACCTGTACTGGCCGAACAAGAATGAGGATAGGACACATAACATCCTTGCCACTCGAGAGCTTATAGTGCAGCCTGGATATATTTTACAGTTCAAGGTATAGAACCAGACGATTTTACCACATCTGTCTTTTGTCGTGTGAATGGGGACTTCAGTCTTTTACATCTCTGGCTGTTGCAGATTGTTGTTGGTTGTGAGGCAGACACATGCGAAGACCATCATTCTGTCCTGCTGCAGTACAGGAAAGATGCGAGGTAGGAGAAGCAAAAGGAGGCCTTCTTAAAGCAAAGACAACTGGAATGAAAACACTTACTGTTTGTTCGTAGGATTTGCTTCACACGGGTTGTTTTCAGCTCTTCGTTTCCCCCTGCAGGTCGGACTCATGGCAGCTGGTACAGTCCGAGTGCCTCCCCTCCTCAGTCAACAATGTGGGCTGCTCCCCCTTCCAGTTCCATGAATCCACAATCTACAGTCCAGTTAACAGTTCAACATGGACCAGAGTCACAGTCCAGCTGCCAGACCAGGTGTCCTCAGGGTAAGGAGGGCACGAACTCCAGCCCTCAGTGGAACATGTCGACATTTTAAATTAACATCAGCAGATTTGCTTCTGAAATATGTTTTTCAGGGCAACCCAGTTCCGTTGGATTCAAAAGGAGGGGCTGGGGGAACGGCAGAGCTGGGCAGTGGACCATGTTTACATTGGCGAGGCATGTCCGGGGCTCTGCAGCGGCCACGGATACTGCACCACAGGAGTAGTCTGCATTTGTGATGAAGGACACCATGGTGGGCTTCAAACGGCGTATTATGTATTCAATTAGAGGCATTACCTTTTATTGCTGACAGGTGGAGTTGCCCGTAAAAAGTTTGCAGCAAATCTGAACCACGTCTTACTCGGTAGTTCTCAGGAAGAAAAACCGTCCTTTTACTTTGAGTCGACAAAGAATGAGCCTTTTTTTTAACATTTATCACTTTCATTCTTATAACCTTTCATAGGAGATGACTGCTCCCTGTCCAACTCTGACTTGCCCAGCTCCATCAAGGACAACTTTGAGTCTGGTGGCATGTCTCAGGAGAGCTGGCAGCTGATCCAGGGTGGTGGGGTGGGCAGTGGCTGTGGACAGCTGTCACCACACGCTCACGGAGACTCACTCTACTTCAACGGCTGTAAAATGAGACAGGCAATTACCAAGCCACTGGACCTTACCAGAGCCAGGTACAGGTAGTACCGAAATACTCATGCTTTAAATATTAAAAGATATTGTTTAGCAGATATGTTTACATAATGCTTATTTTGTTTAGTCTGATCAGCTGCTTTCCCACCCTCATATGATACTTTCTCTTTCTAATGTTTTTCTCCGTTGTCTTGCTTTTCTGTTTCCTTACAGCAAGATCATGTTTGTGCTGCAGATTGGCAGTGTGGCACAAACTGACAGCTGTAACATAGCGCTGGATCAGGCCGACACAGTCGACCGGGCTGTCCTTCTGCAATACAGCGTCAATAATGGAGTCAGCTGGCATGTAATTGCCCAGCATCAGCCCAAAGACTTCATAAAGGCTCAGAGGGTTTCTTACAACATTCCACTGTGAGTGCTGCATATCCAGTCACCTGAGCTTTTGGATTTAGTTTAAGAAGAGCATTTTTATGATACTGTCCTCTTCTGTTAAGGTTTTTCAATATTATTTACGTTACTGAACAGTGAAAGTCATTCATAAAGAGAAATGTTTTTAGGGCTTTCTTTTTTGGATGTCATTCCAAAAGTCACTCTGGTCTTCTGTAACAACGAAACCAGCTGTCACACTAATAGTCCAGAGACAAAAAAAAACCTAGACTTTAAAAGTTTTAGAATATTTTTGGAAATAAAGCCTCAGCCACAGTACTATAGCCTCATTACCACAGTAGAGGGGTAATTTTCTATAGATCAGTTTACCTACAGACTGACTCAAAGAATTATGTAAGACCTGACTTCCCTGTTTCTGCAATCCCCCCCAGTGAGGCCAGAGTTAAAGGGGTGATGCTGCGATGGTGGCAGCCACGACACGATGGTGCAGAGCATGACCAGTGGGCTTTGGACCATGTTGAAGTTGTTCTGTGAGTACCCAATTGTCAGCTGGCCTTTGGTAGCCCAGACTGGCCTGAAAGAACCCTGAGCAGCCCCTGTCTGCCTCTACCTCAGTACCAATGGTTTCTTCCACTCTACACTCACACAGCCATACGGATACATGCACATTTGACTGTGTGACATTCACCACCTACATTTTACCTCTGAGTCTCCTCTTTTATAGACTGAGTATCATATTTGGTGCAAATCAACACACATCATCATCATCTTTTAGTGTTTTGTGGAGTCAATGCATTTTTCATAAAAGTAATTACAACTCAATTCATTTTTATTAATGTCTACAACACTGACATTTGTTTTTAAAACAGAACATTGGGTATAAACTATATGTTCATAATTTATTAGAATAATTCCTTTCCACTTATCCCTCCTCTTGACCATTATGAGTTACATTACAGATCAATGAATGACACAATTTTCAAGTCTCAACTGAAAACACCGCCATAAGATAGGTAAAGAAATTAATTTGCAGCTCCCAGATCCATCTTTGACACTTATCTGCTGGAGATGCATGGCTTGTTGTTCTGCCTTCTTTTTTAACAGGACTTCCAATTACATTTATTATTAAAAGTCACATGCGCAAAATTGAGAGGTCATATATCGTTCTTTGTTCATGTAAGTTTGCAGGATAATCTCATCCTGTTCAGTATTTACCATAAAATGTGCAATATCATAGATTTGTTATCATTTTACAAGCAATTTAAACTTTTTGATCAGTTCTTAGGGAATCCACGGTACTCTTTGTGAGGTATCAGTTGGGCTCTCTCCCCTTATGTGCACTAGCTAGAAGGTATTGATGTCCGTATACATGGTGGTACACAGGCACAACACTGAAGGTACTAGTGTTAGTCATTCCTGTCTGTGTTGAGTGGAATAGTAAAAACAGTGGTGGCTTCTCATTCTTTTATATATTCTGTTTTCGTTTACTGTGAACTCATAGTCTGACTTTTCAAATCTTGTTTACACTCATCCAATTTAAAGACATCATTGCTGTTTTTTTGTCTTCAAGAAATAAAGTGTTATTTTTTATTAAGGAAGAAAATCTGCTCATCATTCAGAATTCTCTTTTTTTCTTCTCCCATTTTTTATGTTTTCGTTGTGTTTCAGTTTTACTACCTGTGCCAGGAAAGTTGAAGCCAGTTTAAACAATTTCTCAAATAGCCTAAAGAAAAAACTGAGTTTACAGGACACTCAAGATTTAAACATGAGCTATATTACAGTTTTGGGCATTACATCATAAATAGATTTTTAAATTAATTTCATTATGTGGTTTTAGAGGGACATTCCCTAATTTTAGATATATCATAGTGTGTCACAGAATGCAGACGACACTCATGAAGTTTTTATATAAAAGGCCTAAAAAAAAAACAGCTTTAACACACCTGAGCGGTCCCTGGTCTACATAGCCATGACCTGTCCCACTCCCACCCTTGCATTTGCTCAGTTTTCAACAGTGTCTGCTGAAATGAGTGACTGGGACCCTCACACTTTGCTCTGTTGTTTATTTCTCTCCTCACCGCTCCTTCACTCATTTTCCCCTCACCTTTTCTCCTCAATCTTTTCTTTTGCTCCACTCGTCTTCCCTCCGTGCTGCTTAATGTCACCTTTGATCATGTGGTTGACCCCCTCCTCTGCTTGTGTGGTATCTATCCCACCTACCTTTTTCTCCATGTCAATTCCTGCTTTCCTTCCTTCCAACTCTTTCCTTCACCCTATATCTTGCCACTCTGGTAAACAATGGATGGATTACTGCTGTTTATCTCGTTCTTCTTGGTCTACTTTACTTTTGGTTATGTCTTCATCTTTGTTCCACATCACTGCTGTGCTTTCCACAACCCCTCGGCTCTTCTGTTGCACATTTTTCTTCTTCACTCTTTTCTGTCCCCTCGCCGTTACGTTTTGTTCTTGCTCTCCTGACTACCTCTATGCCTTCCTCTCTCTTCCTCTTTTCCTCCTTTTGGCCCTGGCCTCCCCAGGCTGGGTCTCCTACCCCCCCAGACCTTTCTACGAGACAGCAGTCCCCTCCTCCTGCCTCCCCCCTCTCGCGCTCTAACCTCTGCTCTCTTCTGTATTCTGCTCCCTCTGGCATGGCTGTAGTGTCAGGTAAGTTTTCCGCCTCCTGAATGCAGCCCCCCCCCCCCCCCCCC